CATCTATCCGGCGTGGGATATTCCTTTCTGGGTTTACTGTCACATGATCTCAGATGGGAAAGATGAAGACAACGGAGGATGGACGGTACGATAGTGACTTTAGATCATTTTAGATTTAGATCTTTAGATCATTTTAGATTTAGATCATCAGAACATACATTATGAATCATATATTTTATATAAACCCATCACAGGTGATTCAGAGGAGAATGGACGGCAGTGTGAATTTCTATCGGCCGTGGAGTCAGTACAAGAGAGGATTCGGGAATGTGGAGGGCGAATACTGGATGGGTAAGATCTCACGGTGTGTGTCCGTTTGTGTGGATGATCATGTGTTTGGTTGAACGTGTGTGTGTGTGTGTGTGTGTGTGTGAACAGGGCTGGAGAACATGTACTAGCTGACACGTAAGAAGAAGTACATGCTGAGAGTGGATCTGGAGGACTTTGAAGGAAATAAAGTGTTTGCTCTGTACTCGTCCTTCTCTGTGGACTGTGAAATGGACGGGTATAAACTGCATGTTTCAGGGTTCACTGATGGAGGAGCAGGTAGGATACTTTCATCTATACTCATGAAACACATTTCCATTGAGTTATTGTCCTCAGTGATGCTCCTCTTATCTGCAGGCGACTCTTTATCTCTCCATAATGATCAGAAGTTCTCCACCTTTGACAAGGACCAAGACAGCAATGGAAATGCAAACTGTGCCAAATATCATCTCGGGGCATTTTGGTACGCAGCCTGTCACCACACAAACCCCAACGGTGTGTACTTATTGCAAGAAGATTCCCCCCATCACGCTATTGGAGTTGTTTGGTATACTTGGAAGAATTACGCTGTCAGTATGAAAACCATCAGCATGAAGATCAAACGTGTGTCTTAGACCTTTGAAGAAACAAACATTGTTTCTCAGAAACAAGTAACGATTATATTGCTTTCCTTTCCTCTATTTAGTGTGTAACCAGGGCCTAAAATTGACATTTGCTAAGTGCTAAACGCAAGTAAACATCAGTGTTTGTGTGTATGTGAAACGGTGTTAATTGCCAGTGAATTCTAGCAATGCAATGTTGTGAGAACATGAACGTGAACAAAAGTTTAAGCCTTGCCAATATAAATATTCAAGCACAGAAGGGAACTAAATTTGTTATTTCGAAGCACGCGTCTAGAAATTATGGAAGGTTGTTTCCGCCATAGAATGAAAAACATAAATGGTAATTGCGACTTTTTATCTCACAATTCTGACTTTTTTTCTCACAATTGCGAGTTTATTTCTCGCAATTCTGACATTATTTCTCAGAATTGCAAGATGGAAAGTCAGAATTGGTGATATAAAGTCAGAATTGCGAGATATAAAGTCAGAATTGTGAGATAAAAAGTCGCAATTGCAAGATATAAAGTCAGAATTGTGAGATATAAAGTCAGAATTGCGAGATATAAAGTCAGAATTGTGAGATAAAAAGTCGCAATTGCAAGATATAAAGTCAGAATTGCGACTTATAAAGTCAGAATTGCAAGATATAAAGTCAGACTTATAAAGTCAGAATTGCTAGATATAAAGTCGCAATTGCGTGTTATAAAGTCAGAAATGCATGATATAAAGTCAAAATTGTGAGATTTAAACTATTCTGAGGGGGAAAAAGTTAATCGTTTTTCCCCCTTAGAATTGTCCTGATAAGTCGCAATTGCGAGTTTATATCTCACAATTCTGAGAAAAGATGTCCGAATTTCGACATATAAACTCGCAATTATGTGTTATAAAGTCAGAATTGCAAGATATAAACTCGCAATTGTGAGAAAAAAGTCAGAACTGTGAGATAAAAAGTCACACTTCTGTCTTTTTTTCCTCAGAATTGCGACTTTATATCACACAATTCTGACTTTATATCACGCATTTCTGACTTTATATCTCGCAATTCTGACTTTATATCTCGTAATTCTGACTTTATATCTCGCAATTCTGACTTTATATCATGCATTTCTGACTTTATATCTCACAATTCTGACTTTATAACTCGCAATTCTGACTATATCTCGCAATTCTGACTTTATATCTCGCAATTCTGACTTTTTATCTCGCAATTCTGAGAAATAAAGTCAGAATTGTGAGATAAAAAGTCACAATTATTTATTTTATTTTTATATTCAGTGGCAGAATCAAGCTTCCATAGAAATTCATATCTCAGACAGCGCGCAAATACTGAATTGAGCTCTCTTTCATGTCTTCTTGCACTTGAACAGACATATTCAAAGATAATTGTCAAAGTGCAAGTATGCTTGTAAACATAGTCAGTTATGGCTTAGGCCCTGTCCCAAATAGCACCCTAAACACTCGCAGTCTTCCTCAGAGTACACACTTTCATGACCTAATGCCACTTTGACTGTCGGATAGAAGTCTGCTGTGGAGCTCGATTCAGTGCCGGCTCACCTAAAGTGCATATCGACCGCGAGCACCCTTCTGAAAACTAAAATGACGATTGGGTCACCCTCTGGTCTCAATGACTTAACGGACACGCGCACGTCATTGTAAGTCCACATGACCGAAAGTACATATGAAGTGTGCCAAGTGTGTTGGGACAGGGCCTAAAATGAACGGAAACAGTTGAGAAAGAAAACACGTGTGTAACAGTTTATTGGATCAGTACGTTCACTCTTAAAGTGACAGAAGCCTAATATCCAGTGTCAATGTTAATCAAACAACAAAAGATAAAGAACAATCACGGTCGTCGGTCTTGACTGAATAACTTTTGTAACTTTAAGAAGGATTGATCTATCTTTCATGGCTGTTAAAAAAAATATTTATGGCAAGTAAATTTTGTCACTGGCCATTGGCAGTTGTAGGCCCTGTGTGTTACTTAGTAAATCATGAAGGAATATCACTTTCAAAAACATGGTTGTTTTTAGTTTTTTTCTTATTTGTATTGGGTCACTTCTTTTAATTTAATATGAAGAGTTCAGATGCAAAAGCCTCTAAATGCCATTTGAAATTTTCTTCTTTAATGATGATTTTTATCAAACTTGTATATTTAAGTTCAGTAATTTCACTTAAATAACAATTAATAGGTAATTATCATTGCCATTTAAGTGAAATTAAAGTTAAAAATACAAGCTTGGTAAAAATTTTCATTTTAGAAGAAAATTTCAAATGGCACTTAGAGGCTTTTGCATCTGAACTCTTCATATTGAAATGAATCGATTCATACATTTTCAATAAAACTCCTGCAACGAACGCTTTGTTGCCTAATGTGTTTCTTACTGTAGATATTCAAATGATCATTGTCAGGTTAAATTATGTTGAATTCAAGAAGGTGCAAATTGCAGCTCTGTGCTTTTAACTGTTTTTAATGAATATGGGATACATACATTAGCATTTTTCTTTATAATCCGATTAGGTGCCGGCAACTTTGTCGAGGAAGGGCATAAATGACATTCCTGAAATAAAAATGTTGCTGGCCATCATTCATATTCCACACATAACCACAGAAAGCTGACAATTGAGAGTTTACTGTTCGGAATAATATAAAGAAGTGTATAATGTTCTCTGATGTCCACAATACAATGATACACATACAACATCGCCCGTGACCTTTTGAACGTAATTACGTATTACGTGACGTTACAAACGCGCCTCACAGAATAGAGCAAGGCTAGCATTTGTCCTTAGAAAAGTTACATTTTTGGAATAAGTTTTGAAATAAGCGATCGTTTCGCATGATAAGACCCTTATTCATCGTCTGGTGTCGTTTAAAGACATTTGAAGCTGCATCTGAAATTGTTATTAACTGTCTTTTGGACCTTGAACCGTTTGGTTCCCATTGAAGTCCATTATATGGAGAAAAATCCTGGAATGTTTTCATCAAAAACCTTAATTTCTTTTCGACTGAGGAAAGAAAGACATGGACATCTTGGATGACATGGGGGTGAGTAAATTATCAGCAAAAGTTTTTTCAAAAGTGAACTAATCCTTTAAGAAAACCCAACCCACAATATAAAATAATAGTCAACATCGTCACTATTATGTGACCTCTATGTACTGTCTTCTGCCGGATAATAACTCTCGGATCCCGTCAGGTTTGTGGTAACAGCTGGTTCATTCCACATCTGCATTTATGACAAGGACAACAGTGTTGAATAATCTCACATGGACGAACAGCGCATGCTCAAGGAAAAATCCTCCGTTGCTTTGAGGATTACCCGTAATCCTTCGTCATTACTACCGTTTGCTGCAGGTACAACTTTATGACAGCAGGTGGCACAATAATCCCATTTAGTAGGATTAAACCTTTTTAACTACGTTACAATTACACATGTGGAAAAATTCTGATTGAATCAGAGAAAAGAAACCTACACCTCAAATACCAAAGATACTCCAGTCTTCAACAGTATGGTAATTAAAAATCTTTATTTATATATATTTGTGAGGTATTGTGTTTCATTCAATTATATGTTGAATTGAAGATGCTACAGAAAGGTGAAAACATAGCTTTAAACATTTGCTCACAATGTGAAACATGTGTATTACATGTGCTTTACACTTGGTTGCGGCAAATACGGTTAAAGTACTTGGAGTTTTCACAGACATAAGGGCCGTACACACCGGGACGAATATAAGCGTGCGTTATTCGCCAGCGTTTTTCAACACGTTTTTTTGTGTTCACACCCCAGCGATTTCCGCTGACGATGAGCCGAGTGAACATGCAAATTCATTCACTGACATTAGATGGCGCCAATTTGCTCTCCATATCAGTTGTCTTTTATCAAGATGTTTGTAGTCGCTGTCGCGTTTGTCATATAGTTCTTTATGTTTCGACACCAACGAGACCAGCAGCTCTACACTCATTTTGCCTCGTATCTTCCTCGTCTTATTTCTTCCTGGCTGTGTAGACGGCGACGCTACTTGGTGTATATCTTCTTCGCCGTTACGTATGTGTGCTCAGCAAGACCGTTTTGTGTTTGAGCACCCCCAAGTGGTGTTTTACTGTAACTTCAGAAGCTCCAAACACGTGAGCAAAAGCACCAATCTCATTGGTCGGATAAAAAAACGAACCCGAGGCATTTAAAAAAAAATGACGCTTTTACGCGCGCTACGGCATTGGCGCACTCTGTTTAGTCACAAGGCGTTAAACGTCGGAAAATATCGCGTAAAATTCGTCCCGGTGTGAACAGGCCTATAGTTGAGGATAATGGTATCTCGTGTAAACAAATAATGAATGAATGTTCACTGTATGCGACAAAAAATGTTTTCATCCTTACATTCGTCCTTCATAATTTTCAGTAAAGTGAGTACAATATCAATCGATCTACAAACAGACAAAGCAATGGTGACACATGGTCAAATAAACACTCATTACATTTTCATGTGCTTATTGAAAAATTGGCCCCTTTATAAAAATTCTGACCCCTGATAGATAGATAGATAGATAGATAGATAGATAGATAGATAGATAGATAGATACTTGAGCATTAGTTGAAGGTCATTGGGCCTGTAACAGTACACCCGTGAACAACAGGGGCCTTTACGGTTCCTCCATTGGATGTAATGTTCATAGTAACTCCAGCAGTCTGAGCCGGTGCCGGTGCCGGTATCCCACTAGACGAAGCTCTCGCTCCATCAGGAACATCCTCTGGAACTGACGGACAGACACAGAAATAATATCAGAACGCATAAGAACTTAGATCAAATACTACCAATGCATATAGTATCAACTTACCTTCCTGAAGTTTTCCCTTCAGTCGATCAGCAAGGTCATTTTGCTTCATTTTGCGTAGCGTTCTGACTGCAATCTTTCCGGCATCTGATCTGTTGTAGTGCTGCTCCATGAGATCCACCACATCGTGGAGATCAGCCTTCTCAAGTTTTCCTCGAGGAATAGGCTCGTCACTGTTCGACAGGTGCCATTTGAATGTTTTGAACTCGCCTTCCAGGAGCTCTTCAAGTGCGTCAATTATCACTGTTTTGGTTGTAGCCATTTTGTGTCACTTAAGGGAAAAATACAACAACATACAATGGTATATTGATTAATGTGGAGCCCGATCAGCCTCAATGTTCGCCAAAAGATAGGCTACAACCAATATTGTTTAAACTGTTTTTGTGGGTTTCTAAGTAGGGGAATTTGTGTTATTTCATTTGATATTCACATCCACACAAGCATAACAGATATGGCGTATATCATGTCAATCATTTTCTATTAGAGTTAAAACAGCGTAACCTCCTTTGCGGCTGTGAATGACAGATCTGTAATGCTCGAGTTCTCCACGGGACAGAGCAGCGGGTTCACACATTGTAGGCTACATTTGTCTTTTCATTATGCATCAGTGTGAATTGCTGAATATTTCTTAATTTCCTTTTTGAATTGAGTATTTTTGAACTAAAGTGTATTTTACACACTAACTACAAAATAAATAGAGATTCAAAGTTGTTGACTTTGCACTAAAATAACATTATATGTGTAAAGATATGGCAACTGTACTATGACCTAACCATAAAACTATGAGCTTTCGCATCATTCTTCAATATCCGATTACACGCCTCATCTCTAGATCAAATGTTTGTCAGTATGAAGAAATGGGTTTCTTAGCAGGTTTCAAACATGAAGTGGTTTAAAACGGATGTGTTTTCCGACTTTAAGCTCTGCATGTTTGAGCCTGTTAGAAAACACTCACACTTAGGCTACTGACTGACTCAACATATGGTAGTAGTAATCTAAATAAACAGGCATTACCGAAAGACTTGTTAAATAAATAAATCTTGTACTTACAAAGTTGATGGATTAGTTGCAGTCCGCGCTTCCTTGTTGTGTGGTTTCGCTTTTGTCTTGTCTGTCTCGTTCCGTTTCTTGAAGTGATGAGTCGTTCATGAACGCGTGACGAATGAACGAAAGACTCGGAAGGTAAAGTAATTATTTATGTTCCCTGTAAATGATTTTTGACTGCATTAATGATTTCTTAATTCAGAATATGATCAAGATCGCGTAGGTGGATGTGTTCGGGGTTGCCTGTTAAAATCATAACATTTAAAGCCCATTAAATGAACGAACTGACTCGGAAAATGATTCGAACAAGAGAGTCAGTACAGTGATCCGAACTTCCCATCCGTCCCATCCCAAGATTTTTGTCATTTTTTGTCTATTAATCCTGACAGAATAATATCGGCCACACTTCAAGTAGGCTAGTCTAATTGAATGTTATTTTGATGTGTGTAGATCACACTAAATATAATAATAATATAATAATATCATATAACACGTAAATGAAACATTTGGAAGCACAACAGACACCATAAAGGTATAGGCTACAATATGTAAAACTATGCTTAATTAGTGTTTAATGTGCACATAAATCACAGGAGAAACATTATTTGACTGAATTCAAAAAGCCTGAATGAAAAGCTGGCTCTTAGGATCCGGTTCCCATCATGAATCAGTTCTCCAAATATTCAGTGTTTGTTCTAGGAACGTAAAAATGTTCAGTATTCTTGACGTTAGAAGAACAGGTACGGTGTTCCTTACACATTTTCTCAGCTTAATTTTGATTAATAATTGAACATTATAGGAAGGAACGAAAAACATAAAAGTAGCTATCCGGTTTGCTGAATGTTAATAATGTTATTTTAAAGGTTTGTGATCCTGAAACGTTCTTTCAATCATTCATCATGACCTCTTTAAGATAAAACTGAAACATTTTGTTAGGCGATGTTTAAGTTAATTTAGTCAATGGTTTACTTAATTTACGATAAATATTGTGATGTCTTTAAATATGCATCATTTTTGTTGTGTGCTATGTGTAAAATAGCCTACTATTAAAAAAAAAAAAAAAATTGATTGCTTCATGTTATTTGCATTCCCCCACAAAAAGTGAATAGATTTAACACTGAATTTATTTTTGTTGTTTTTGTAATTTCAAGTTTATTAATAATGCAAATGTTGATAAAAGCATGTGCGATTAAAAAAGAGCATTTGCTGATACATCTGTCACACAATCATTCATGTACAGAGTAAAAAAAGAAACGTATTTGTAAAGCAACTGATCCTGGAATTGAGAAATTGAGCTTGAGTATCAATCATTCAACAAACTTTCAAACAGTTGCAAACTTTCCAAGAGGCTTTAAATTGACTTAAAGTTATTAAAGAAAAAAAACTAAAACTAATAATTAGGTTGATTTTAGTTCACCCCTTTAACCACTATTTTTTCTCTCCCTTTGGTGGTGATGAGTGGATAAGACACATGCCTTTGGTGTGAGAGACCCGGGTTCGAATCCACTGTGAGACACCAATGTGTCCCTGAGCAAGACACTTAACCCCTAGTTGCTCCAGAGGCGTGCGACCTCTGACATATATAGCAATTGTAAGTCGCTTTGGATAAAAGCATCAGCTAAGTGTATAACACCGTTAGTGTGAAATTAGAGTTTATTATTAATGGCATTGCTCTAGAGAAATTGTGAGTAGAAATTCAATATCCTTAATACTTATCAAGTAAACCATAAACAACAGGAGGAGTCAGTGAAATTCATCAGTTAAAAAAAGAGCGGGAAAACTGAAGAAGAAGAACATTCCACTCCATTCACTTCTGGAATATTAAAATTCAAATATCTCATTTACATTAATTGAGTTATTTTAATCTTTGGACAGTTCTGTAAATTAAAATCATCTGTGTACACGTATGGGCTTTGAGAACTGCTGCTGTGGACCATCCATCTGTCCAGCGACGTTACCTCTCTAGCATTTACTCGTGGCTTCATGTCTGTATCGCTAATGTTATTCGAGCGTCAGCAAGTGTTCAGACCTCAGCCCCAAGGTCCTCCTCCATCATTTCCATCTTCCTCTTCGTCCTCGTCTTTTTTCTTCTTCTTTTTCTTCTTGTCCTCCACCTTGTATTTGACGCGTCGGATGGGGTCGGTCAGGCTGCGCATTTTGCCTTCGTCAAACTCCTCGTTCATCATGAAGTTCCTGTCGATAAGCTCCGCCCCCTCCTGCCAGTTGCGGTAGCAGTCCGGCCCGAGCGTGCAAATCTCCGACACGGCGTCGGGCAAGAGGACGGAGCAGTCCGGACGGAGGACCACCACCCTCGGCAGATCCTGCACCTCGAACATCTCGCTCAGCTCCCTGCAAACATGACGGAAACACAGCTTCATAAACTTCGCATATAGATCAGTGGTTCTCAACCTTTTTGACAAGCCTCAATGGAGTGTCATTAAGTTAAAATAAATCGTAAATAAATAGAGCGTTTGTTTGCAAGACTTTTGCTTTCCCCCGAGAAAGATTGCATTCATTCGCAAAACTTTTGTTTCCTTAGAAACATTGCGTTCGTTTGCAAAACGTTTGTGTTCATTCCTAAAACTATTGCATTCCCCTGAAAAACGTTGTGTTTGTTTGCAAAACTTTTGCATTCGCCTGAGAAACAGTGCGTTCGTTCGCAAAACATGTGCATTTCCTAATGAAACTTTGCATTCGTTCACAAACTTTTGCGTTCACTCCCAAAAAATTTGCGATCCTTCGGGAAACACTGCGTTTGTTCGCAAAACTTTTGCGTTCCCCTGAAAAATGTTGTGTTTGTTCTAAAAACTTTTGCATTCGCCTGAGAAACATTGCGTTCGTTCGCTAAAACTTGCGTTTCCTAAAGAAACTATGCATTTGTTCACAAAACTTTTGCGCTCACTCCCAAAACATTTACCATGCTTCTGGAAACATTGCATTCCTTTGCAAAACTTTTGTGTTCATTCCTAAAACTTTTGCGTTCCCCTGAAAAACATTGAGTTTGTTTGCAAAAGTTTTGCATTTGCCTGAGAAACATTGCGTTCGTTCGCAAAATTTTGTTTACTCCCAAAACGTTTGCGTTACCGTGAGAAACTTTTGCATTTCCTAGAGAAACATTGCGTCTGTTCACAAAACTTTTGCGGTCGATCCGAAAACGTTTGCGTTCCCCTGAGAAACGTTGCATTTGTTGACAAAACTTTTGCGTTCCCCTGAGAAACATAGCGTTAGTTTGCAAAACTTTTGTGTTTATTCCCAAAACTTTTTGCGTTCACTCCAAAACATTTGCGATTCTTCGGGAAACATTGTGTTTGTTCGCAAAACTTTGCGTTCCCCTGAGAAACATAGCGTTCAATCGCAAAACTTTTGTGTTTACTCCCAAAACATTTGCTTCCCCGAAGAAACTTTTGTGTTTCCTAAACAAACTTTGTGTTTGTTCACAAAACTTTGGCGTTCACTCCCAAAACTTTTGCGTTCACTCCAAAACATTTGCGATTCTTCGGGAAACATTGCTTTTTTTCGCAAAACTTTTGTTACTCGCAAACGTTTGCGTTCCCTTGAGAAACTTTTGCGTTTCCGAGAGAAACTTTGTGTTTGTTCCCAAGACTTTTGCGTTTACCCCCAAAAAAGTTCCGTTCCCCGAGAAACTTTGCGTTCACTCCCAAAAGTTATTTAAATTACTATAGTAAGTAAGTACATATTATCTACAAGCAGAGTAGGACATTCATTTTTTTTTTCAATGATTTTTAAAAAAAAATTGTTTTGTCTTATTTTTTTTTTAAGTAAAAGCCGTCTTGTAGACTCAGTGGCAGAACCACTGTACTAGAAATAACCATTTCATATTCTGCATGCTAGCATGCTATTAGGAACAGAAGTGCATACGTCCTGTAGGGGTCCTCGTAGGGCAGGAACAGGCAGCGTTTGGGAAGCTCCTTCAGGAACTTCTCCTGCTGCTCCTCGGACGAGTCCAGCGAGATGTACAGCAGCACCAGCTGGGCCGATCGCTCCACGTAAAACTCGTCCGTCAGCTTCTTGTAGAATTCTTTGAGCGTCGGAGCGAAGTCCTGACACTTCTCACACTCGCCCGAGCCGAAAAACAGCATGAGGATGCGGTTCTGGAGACGCAGGATGATCTCGCGCTCCGTGTCCAGCTCGTCTTTGTCCTTGTTGTTCTTCACCAGAACCTTCCCCAGGAACATGTCCACCATGACAGCTTCTGGAGAGAGAGAGAGAGAGATCATTTACTCATCAATGCTTTCTTTCTGCAGGAATTTGCGAGAGAAAAGCACAAATATAAGTAAATGTTGCTTAAAAACACAATCAAGAAGATATACCATTCAAAAAACGCGGTCAGTGTGAAATGAATATGCATTAATCAAAACCGACACCAACGATCTTTAATGTTATACAATTTTTATATTTAATATATATAATATTTCATCTAAGAATCTTTAAAAATGGTTAGTGCAAAAACATGAAGCAGCACAACTGTGATCGACATCGAAGACTGGAGTAATGATGCTGAAAACTCAGCTTTGATATAAATGATATTTTAAAGTATATTACACATAGAAAACATATTTCAAATGGTAATAATATTTTCTAACTGTAAATGTAAAATAGGCCTACACTACTTTTACAGAAATATTGCAGTGCACATTTAAACATGAAGCATTAAGCCATTGTTGCATCTACAAGCCTAAAAACTCGAGATATTTCCAACTCAATGCTGACGCACCTTCAGTGAACGAGTCTCGCTGACCGAACCGATCATGAGTTCAGAAGAAAGCGGTCCTGCGGGGGAACATGTCGAGTTCCCCGTCATCACACACACTCTTCACAGAGATTACAGGTTTAAAGAGACACCAGTGAGTGTGTGTCCTTCAGTCACTGTGTCTCGGAGAGATCTGAGGATAGAGCGAACAGACCACCTCATCAACATCAACCCATTGTCATAATCCTAGAGAGAGAGAGAGAGAGAGAGAGAGAGAGAGAGTGAGAGAGAGAGAGAGAGAGAGAGAGAGAGAGAGAGAGAGAGAGACAGACAGACAGAGTGAGAGAGAGACAGAGAGAGAGAGTACCAATCCAGTCTTCAAGTGTGTAGTATGACGTGATAATTGAAATTACCCATCAAAAGCAAAAAATCTACTGAATGCATCGCTGAGATTCAAAAACACATTTTGTTTGTCTTTAATGATGAAGACGACTCATGTCGCTCTCAGGACGGATTATGGCCGTGTTTTTCAGAGATCCCATAAGCCTTCTTGGCTGAAAATACACCAAGGCCTTGATAATCCAATAGAGAGAGTGAGTGAGTGAGTGGCTACAGAAGGGATGAGTTTTATGCTAATGATACATTTGTAAGACTGATAAAACTGGAAGATGCAAACCAATTTGGACTGAAAAATGGCTACACCCCGAGAAGACAAGGGGCGTCTCTAGAAAATAACATTTGAACTCTTTCCTGAGAAACTAGCATCCCCATCCCAGACATAATCTCACTGTCAATCACATCAGGATTGTGTGAATCTACATCTCTTTCCCTTCACCCTCTTTTCCCCAGACTAAAGTCCAGTTTAAAGTGGATCATAGGGCACACCGACTGAGATTTAAGAGATCCGGCTAATATTTGGCACTGATTCAAGTGTACTTGGACTGTAGACTATTTAAAACTGTTAAATAGAGTGAGTCTTAATGTAGTGTTACTCTAGTGTATGTGTGGAACACCATGGCATGACCAAACCAAAGCTAAACTGGCCGGCTTATATATGAGCTCTAGTGTTACTTTAATTCAAGTGTGTACAGATCTATGGGGACTAAACAGACGAGAGAGTAAACGTGAAGGCGGCCTTCTCAATGTTAGTCAGTTGGGCAAAATATTAAGTTAAATGGAAAAATCGAATGACTAATCATATAAATGACCAATAACCAATTGGCATTCCAACCTGAATTTGAGAGTCAGATTGTAAATGTAAATGGGAACTAAATAACGTTGCCACGCTAAAAAGACCGAATGTGCTGGAAACCTTCAACCGTTTAATGGAAACTGTGGTTGTGCTGGTTTAGCAGGAATTCACACATTAATTAATAAACATGCCGAACAAGTCACAGGAGTTTCACATGAGCATACTAATACTGCTCATGTCAACCTGTTATGCTTTTTCAGGATTCACTGATGGATAAAAAAAAAAAAAAACAGCATTTATTCAAAAAATAAATCTTTTCTAATAATACAAGTCTCAGCACATCTTTCAAATAAATAAATAAATAAAAATAAAAAATTTAAATATATATATATATATATATATATATATATATATATATATATATATATATAATTACTGACCCCAAACTTTGAAAGGTAATGTTAGAATATATATATTTTTATATTTAAATTCTAATATTTTTTAATGTATTTTGATCATATAAATGCAGCCTTGAGAGCAGAAGATTTATTTCAAAAACAGTAAAGTGTAATCAAATAAATAACCAAAAAGATTTTAAATCAGACTTTAAGTAACTGTTATATATCTGCTTTCTTGTGCACTCAGATATCTCTCATGCACGATACCGAATTAAATCAGTCACACGCTTGATAACTTCTCCAATACAGCGTCTTTACTTCTTTACTGTTTAACGTGAACTCCCGTCACTACATCCGGTCCCCGCATACATATAGTACACTCACATCTTAAAGATACAGACCATCATTCTAATACATGACATCCCCCCCAAAGTCGGATAGAGACCTTTAACACTCGACTGTTGTCTCAGTATTGCAGAACAAACAACATATTCATCAACTGATGATTTTCACATTCTTCAACTTGTTTTAAACTTACTTATAATATCAACCATGAACAAGTCAACAACATTGTCTGCATTTAATCTGCATTCAGGAATTCAGCCAACAACAAAATCAGCAAATTTTTGAGGTAATTTTCTTTCTCTTTGGGGCTTGACATTTGTAATGTCCTGGTGACACTCAACCATGGGCACAAGTCTCTCCGATTCCTCTGACAATGTCTTTTGATCCGAATCTGTGGAACAATCAGCTTTCCCTTTGTCGCTCTCTACATACTTCTTCACAAATGTTGTGTTGCGACTGTACTGGGCTCCAGAGGGTGACTCCACAGTTATTTTGTTCCCAGCTTTGCGGACCACTGTGTGAGGTGTTGCGTTAAAAGGTGTGGTAAACTTGTCCGTCTTGTCCTGCCTGATCAGAACCTGATCTCCAACACCTACATTTGAGAAGTCTGCTTTGCGATGTTCATCTGCATACAGTTTATATTTTCCTTTTTTCTCAGCATCATGATCGTGAACTTCGAGATCCTTGTCTACTGATATGAGTTCAGGTAACTTGCCTCTCATTTTTCTTTTAAACAGAAGTTCAGCGGGGCTTTTGCCTGTGGTGTTATGTACAATTCCTCTGTACACTGTAACATACTTCCTGAGTTCCTTTTGCCAGTCAAGTCCTTCCGACTGTGCAATGCGGATTCGTTTCATGATGGAGGCATTCTGGCGCTCGACTTCCCCATTTGCTTGAGCCCATTTAGGCGTTGTTTTCAGGTGTCTGATCCCATTTTCTTCACAGAAACTCTTGAATTCATCCGATTTGAATTGAGGTCCGTTATCGGATTTTAGTGTGGCAGGAAGCCCATGTCGGCTGAATATATCCTCAAGGCTGTCAATCACTTTTGTTGCTGTGGTTGAGGTCAGTACATCATACTCATAATACCTACTGTAGTAGTCCACCACAACTAGGATTGAGTGTTTTGACGGCAGAGGACCCAATAAATCTACAGCTAGATCTTGCCATGGTCCATCTGGTAATGGTAAGGGTCGCAATGGTTCTGGCGCATCAGGACGAGAGACAATTTGACAGCCATGGCATGATTTGCAATATCTCTCGGCAGCTCTGTCCATGCCAGGCCACCATACTTTGCTCCTCAGGTGTTGTTTGGTCCCAACAATACCTATGTGCCCCTCGTGGGCAAGTGCTATTGCTCGTGCTTGTAGTGTTTTCGGAAGAACAATGCGTGTTCCACGTAGTATTAGAAAACCTACCACACATAGCTCCCTAGCAACAGCTGCATACGTCATACACTTTTCAAAGTGTCCACTTTCAATAGCTTTTCTCACCTCTATTAGTTCGGGATCTTTTTCTGATGCCTCTTCCACTTCCCTTGTGGTTAGGGCTCTCGGGGTGGCATTAATAGCTACAAATCTCACATACTCATCCGAATCATGTAAGTGCTTCTCTCTCATTGCTGTGCTTCCTATAAGTCTTGACAGGGAGTCGGCAATGTTGTTTTTCCCAGCAACATAGACGACCTTAAAGTCGTAAGGTTGAAGACGCAAAACCCACCGCTCAATGCGGGCACAGGGCTTAGAGCGTGGACTGTAGATTGTCTCTAATGGCTTATGGTCTGTGACCAGATCAAATTGTCTTCCATAGACATATGGGTGCAGCTTCTCACAGGCCCATACAAGGGCAAGGGCCTCCTTCTCGGTCTGGGAGTACCGTCTCTCACAGTCTGATAGACTTCTACTGATATAACACACTGGCACCATTTGTCCTTTTTGACATTGTGTCAACACAGCCCCCAACCCCACAGGGCTTGCATCAGCTATAACTTGGGTTGGTGCATCTTTATCAAAGTATGCTAAGGTCCCTGATTTGGCAAGTTCTTCTTTCAGAGCCTTAAATGCATTTTTCTGTTCAGGACCAAAGACGAATCTGGAGTCTTTTCTGGTAAGACGTCTCAAGGGCTCTGCCAAGGTTGCAAATTGTGGAATAAACCTGCTGCTGTAATTGACAAGTCCAAGAAAACTCCGAACCTCTGAGGCATTCTGTGGCTCTCGAGCCTCCACCACAGCCCTGACTCTCTCATCAGTGGGCCCGATATCTTTTTGTGTGAGTAGAATCCCCATAAAATGCAAGCGATCCATACTGAACTGACATTTTGCAGGATTCAGAGTTAACCCACATTCTCTCAGACGTTTCATGACGGCATGAAGACGGTGATTGTGTGTTTTATGGTCTGGCGCATGCACAATGACGTCATCAGAAATGTTTTCAACTCCCTCTATTCCCGCAAGGGCAGACGCGATCTCATGTTGATATTGTTCACTTGCAGATGATACTCCAAAAATGAGCCGCTTGTATCTGTACACTCCATTGTGGACTGCAAATGCTGTGATCTGGCGGGACTCTGGCGTCAACTCTAACTGGTGATATCCCCATTTAAGATCTAATTTGCTGAAGACCATAGACCCGTTCAAACTCTGTAGCAACTCATCTACAGTGGGAATGGGATATCTTTCCCTAATGATTGCTCGATTGGCTTGTCGCATGTCAAGACACAGCCTAATTTCAGCATTGGCTTTTGGAACAATCACGACCGGATTAACCCATGGGGTAGGCCCATTCACTTCTTCAATAATGTCCATTTCCAAGAGTTCTTTTATCTTTTCTTCCACAGGAACCCTTAAATTAAATGGAATCCGCCTTAAAGGCTGGGCGACTGGTTGGATCTTTGGGTCTATGTACAAACTAATCTGTTTGGTTTTCAGCTTACCAACTCCTTGAAACACTTCTGGGTATTGTGAATGAAGCGACTGCTTGAGGTCTGTCACAGCTGCAACGTTTGTGCCTATCTTCAGTACTCCAAGTTTCGTGGCAGTGTCTCTCCCCAACAGTGGCTCTCCCGTTCCTTTAATCACAATGAATTCAGCATATACCGACCGGCTGCCTATTCTTGCGTCACACTTGAAAGCTCCCTTTAGTGGTAATGGCTGATTAGATGAGTAAGAGAACAATTTCCTCTCTGTTTCCGGAATGTACGAATGGCATCTAATATTCTTTGCTTTCAGTTCTTCCCATGTTATTTCATCAATGATATTGCTGGTCGCACCTGAGTCTACAAGCATTTTCAAATTGACATTTCCCAAGCAAATATTCATTCTATCAGCCATGTAGTTGTCTTGGATGACAAATGCATAATCGGCTTGCCCTTCAACATGGTTAACTGTTTGTTGCTTCACATTTTTAGTTTTGCACATTTTTGAGAAATGATCTCTTCCTTTACATTTGTGGCATGTCTGGCCCCTCGCAGGACATTTTAAATCACGTCCCAAATGATCTGTATTTCCACATCTGTAGCATTGTTTGCTCACCTTACTGCACTCAGCTTGCTGTTTTCCCTTGAACTGGCCTTTCATCCTTCCCCCTTTTTTCCAGACGCGATTCACAGACTCACTTTCAGGTTTTGATATGTCACTCGATGATGCAGCCATCTGTTCCTCTATCCGTTCACAGAGGGCAGCAACCTCCAACGCACGATCGAGCGTGAGATTAGGTCCTTCCTCCAGAAGTTTACGACGCACATACATTGATACACATTTGCCTACGATGGCATCCCGGATTTGATTAGTCATGTCATCCGCAAATGCACAGTCTTTTGCTGCCTGTCTGAGCCGTGTTGTGAACTGTTGAATCGTTTCACCTGGGTTTTGGGAAAGTTTGTAAAAAGACTGTCTCGCATACGCAGTATTCACTCGTGGCACGAAGTATGCATTCAAGGCTGTAACGGCCGCGTCGTAATCGGCAGCATCTCCCGTATCCGCCAGAGTGGAGAATATATCTTGAACATCAGGTCCAGCGTGATGCAAAAGAAGTGCTCTGCGCCGCTGACGAACTGCAGCAGCGACATCTTCTTCAATTATAAGTCCCTTACCGTCCGCATAAAGTTCAAACGACGTCAGCCACCTTGTCCATCTTGAACCAAGAGTCGCAGGATCTTTGTAGCACTCAAACGCAGGAATACCAGACTTTTCCATCGCGTGCAATCAGTGCTCACACCCGCTGGGCTCCATCCTCGTCGCCAATGTTATATATCTGCTTTCTTGTGCACTCAGATATCTCTCATGCACGATACCGAATTAAATCAGTCACACGCTTGATAACTTCTCCAATACAGCGTCTTTACTTCTTTACTGTTTAACGTGAACTCCCGTCACTACATCCGGTCCCCGCATACATATAGTACACTCACATCTTAAAGATACAGACCATCATTCTAATACATGACAGTAACATACTTTATTCTTTGGTATAAAAGGCACATTCAGGTTACGTACAGGTGTGACGAACACGTAAAAGAAAACGGAAGAGTTTTCACTCAGATAAATCTTATTAGCACATGAAATATCACGTAAACATTAGTTTACAACACAAGTGTTTCTTTGCTAGATAGCCTTGAAATGATTCAGTTTAATCGTTTTCTATTCCCCTATAAATCTCTCAAAGCAACTGAAAATAATAGAATAAAACGAAAAACAAAAGGAAAACACGAGTGTGTGGTTCACATGACGGGAATCGGGAAATGTCCATCAGGACTGAGCTAAACAAGCAATAAATTAGTCGTCTGCAAGCAAACTATCAGATAAAAACATGTCATAATCTGGGATGCACACACGCTCACTGAAATCATGTGAGATAATAAAGGAACGAATCACGTATTCATCCATATTTAACGGATCGTCCAGGACTAGCGTTAAACGAAACCCCTCAGATCAGGTTCAAACTATCTAAAACTAATCCACTGATTGTCCTTGAGATTCCCTTTCAAATGAATAAACTCATGGTTTCGGCTCCCAGTCAAGCATTTCAGGAGAACATGAGAATCTACATCCAATAAAACACTGTTTCACTTCAGTCCTGTGTCTGAAACCTCCCGGGAGAAGTGTGTGTGTGTGTGTTAGAGCTCGTCTCGAGCCGTGCTGTCGAGCGGCGACTGCAGGACGTGTGTGTGTGTGTGTGTGTTAGAGCTCGTCTCGCGCCGTGCTGTCGAGCGGCGACTGCAGGACGTCTGAGTTCTGTGCTCCGCTGCTCAGCTCCTCCTGCTCGCGGCTCTTGCGGGATCTGGCCCGGTCCCAGTCGGTGTGGACGGTCTCGTTGTCCCAGACGGTGGAGGTCTCGGTGTCGCTGACGTATCCCGGGTCGCCGGTGTAGTGCGAGGGGTAAACCAGCAGAGGCTCGGCCGAGAACGCCCGCAGGTCCCGTCGCTGGAAGTGGGACATGTACTCCTCACTGCACAGATCACACAACAGTGTTCATATACGAGACGACGGACAAACAACTGAGATAAAAACATGTCTGAACATCAGAGATCAAATAATTATTCCTTCTTCCTTTGTTTTAAACCATCAATAACAATAATGCAATCAGCGAAATTATGTATTGCATTATTATTAACCCCCCAAATGGACCCGAATTTTTTTTTTTTTTAAATCACAGCTTCCTCGGAATGGTCCGAAATTTGGTGACTTTGTTGGTATTTGGTATATCAACACCCCAAAAAATTGGGTTGTAAAAGTGGTTGTAAAAAAAAAAAAAAGTCACACTCAGGACCTTCGGGTCCGGATGGAAAATGAATCGGAAATTGGCAAAACGTTTTTTTGTGTGCGTACAATCTACAAATCAGCAACGATCTTAAAAAAAAGTACACAACAGTGAAGGGGTGAATCTATAAAACATCAAGAGTGCAAAACAGACACATCCACACACACACAAACACACTTTTATACACAAACACACCAAAAAATTCAGATTATACATGTGTTTTGCATTTTTAAAATGCTCAGTTTGTCCACCAGATAGCATCCATCTCATTTCAAAAATTGCTTTTATGAGGCCTAGGCTTGACTCTAAAATGAAATACAGCTTTAAAAAAATTAATAATAATATTTTTTCTATTATATTCAATGGGGGAACATTTGGTCATAATTATTGCATTAATACTAATTATATTTTTTTATATATATTTTTTTTAACACCAAAAAAGAAAAGAAAAATATTATAAAAAACAAGTAAAAAAAAAAAACTATGATTTTTTTTTTTTTAAATATGAATCCCGTCCTTTGGGTCCATTTGGACCCGAAGGTCCCGAGTGTGACTGTTAAACGAAGAACCCCAGAGGGTTAATAGTGGTAATTAAAAATAAAAACATTAATACGCAAAATACAATTTTTTTTTATTTTATTTATGATAATGTTTTACTTCAGCCCACTTGACTTAACCAAGGGAAAGACACAGGCGTCCGTTTAGGAGCAGCCGCGGAAGAATACACAAATTATGGAAAATAACGGGGAAAAAAAAAATCGACCCAATTCGTAGATTGGCTCTCTAGCGGAGATTCCTATTAAGTCGGTTCAGTCCGATGATGCGTCAAACCGGACCGCCTGAAAGGGAACTGAGCACTGGGATTAATGATCGGGACAGACTCTCACATGGGGTGTTTGTTGTACATGACGGGCAGGAACTCGTCCACAGGCAGCATCTTCTTCAGCGGTTCGGCCCGCAGCAGCTTCTGCGCTCCCTGTAACGAGATCATGTATCCCAGCGTCCAGTACGAATAATCCGCCTCCACCAGGTTATGGATTCCGGGAACTGATTTCTCCGGACGGTCCACTTGCATCCGCTTGCGTCCGATGTAACTGACAGCGGGAGACAGAGAAAGAGGGGATGCCATTAATATACATTATATAATATTGTCTTTTTTTATTTCATTTTATTATTATTATTTTCTGTACTAAAGGTTCTAAATCATTTTCTATGTTGTTTTAATGCTTTTGCAATGCAAAATTTATTTTTTATTTGTCATGCCAATATAGCTTTCTGAATTGAATAGACAGAGCGAAAGAAAGAGAGAGAGTGAAATGTCCAGTAGAGGGCGCAGTACACATACAGATTCATGTGTGTGTGTGTGTGTGTACTCACATCAAGTCCCAGTCTAGCCGCTGAGACTGGATCTCATACATCAGATTCTGCAGGCGCCGCTTGAAGAAAATCTCGAAGCGCAGATCGTCCTCGATCACCAGAGACGTCTTCAGTCCTCGATCCACGATCTGACACCAGACACACAACTTCAGATCTCACAGTTATGCCTTTCTCAAGCCCAAGAAAAAAATTATATAATTTAACTAACTAACTGACAAACTAAATAATATATATATATATATATATATATATATAAAATTCAATTTAAATAAATCTTAGAATGCATTTTTTTTATAGCTATTACATTTAATTAATTATTTATTTTTTTTCATTTTCTGATAAATATTGGAAAACACTGGATTTTGTTGTTAACTTTATTACTGACTTTTGACTCGTCTGGAATAATTACTTGGAAAAAAAACTGTTCACTGAACCGAAAAACACTTCAAGGTTACATTTCTTTTGTTTGAATTAAATTAGTTAATATTAGCATGAATATCTAACATTTTAAATAAGAAATAAAGTCTATAAAATTATCCGTTTTTACTTTTGAATCAATATGGGTGTGAAATTTTCACTGGTTTTGGTGTCATTACTGCAGATAAACTTCTGTTTCTGATAATTATCTGAAAACATTCAAGCAGGATTTACGTTGAAAAAAGGTCTTTACTTAATTGAGACACTGTTACCTAATCTTTGAATTTGCATTAATATTTAACATGTTCCTGAAAATTTCACATTTAACACTTATTTACCAGTAAATAAAGCATTCCATGTTGCTGTAGTGTCTATACTGGTGAGGATTGATATCTCACTGGTTACTAATGAAACTTTCCCTCTCTCTCTCTCTCTCTCTCTGTGTCTCTCTCTCACCTCTGTCCAGATGTTGTAGTGCGAGAGAAAGCAGCCGAGTTCTCCTTTGGTGAGCGGCCGGCCGTGATACGGGTCACTGTATCCGGGGAGCATCTTGATCCCCAGCGCCTCCACCTGACTGCTGTTCAGCGCCCTGAAACACACACACACACTCTCGTGTCAGGCAGTCGGTGTGTGAGAGAGGGGCATTATGGGAAGCTCACGTTTGCAGATGTGTGTGACATACTTGCCATCTACAGCGGCGATGATCTTGCACTCGATCTGCTGTTCGTAGAGAGTCCTCAGCATACGATCCCTGCGGTCCGAGCGTCTCAGCAGGTTTATCATGAACACCTCAACACACACATTATTACAACAATAATCACATATTATACCATTCTCTCATTTAATATTAGATTATATATGTAAAAAAATACACTATGAAACAATACAACAAAATAATATAAGATAACAAAAACTATTTAAATATAAAGCTAGTTTATACTACATCAAATAATGTAATACATAATTAAATTAAATTATATAATACAATTTAAGAAGTAATTAATTTAATATCATATATAAAAGTAAACAATTTATTATGAGATAATATACTATACAAAAAATGATATAAAACCGCATACAAATAATAATATAAATTATACAAAAATTTAAAACAATTAATTATACTATAATCCAAAATCAAATAATACAAAAAATAATCTAAAATAAAAAATATTGAAATATTACAGTAGTATTTCATAAAATAATGTAATATAGAATAAATAAAATTAAACATAATACAATATTAAATAATGTAAAATAAAATACAATAACAATTAATATGAAATAAAAATACATATAATACAATTTAATAATACAACGTTTTAATATAAAATAACAAAATATCCCAATATAAAAACATAAGATAAAATCAAATATTTCGCTGAGCTCACCTCATCAAAGCCCATTTTATCGGGCTGTTTGTGAGGAAGAGAGAGATAGACGGACGGCTCCGTCGGGGGATTGCGCACTGCAGAGACACAACAGATGATCTCAGGCTTGATGACCTCACCACAGCAGAAAACAAGCGTTTAGTCACGTGACCCACCCATGATCTCCAGCTGCGAGTGCAGAAAGCTGTCCGCCTCGTCCTGCAGGGTATTCTGGGAGCGCAGGGGCACGGGGAAATACCCATAAGTCTCTCTGTTGCAGAGGTACATCTGAACGTCTGTGGGGGGAACGCACACATGAAAACATGAATCTGTGATAACCAACAGTCTAAACAACGTTGGGTTGTTTTAACCCAAATTTGGGTCATATGGGCAAACCCAAATGTTGGGTTAAAATGTAAAACTGCAATTTTCACTTTAACCCAACTTCAACTTTCACTTTCAACTGTACATTTTTAACCCAACATTTGGGTTTGTCCATATTTGACCCAAATTTGACCCAGCATTTTTAGAGTGAAGGTGGTTAACTAATATTACTACCCAGATAGCACAAGTCTATTTGATGTGATGTTTACATCTAGAATACGTATTTTATAGAGTGTTTGCTCATCTGCAATATACACTAAAAATTGCTGGGCTGTTTTAACCCAACTTTGGGTCAAATATGGACTAACCCAGCCATTGGGTTAAATTTTTATTAGTACATTTTTAACCCAACGCTTGGGTTTGTCCATATTCGACCCAAAGTTGGGTTAAAACAGCCCAGCATTTTTAGAGTCTATAGGTCTATAGGATGTTTCCTGTCAGATGTCAAATAGACGTTTAGAAGATGTCTTTAAGATGTAATGATTCAGAATGTATGTTAATCTGACATTTTTAAGATGTCTATCAGATGTTAGTAAACAGATGCTTTCCAGATGAAGACGTACGTGTGCTATCTGGGATATGGAGAAACCCAAATGTTGGGTTAAAATGTAATTTAAAATTTTAATTTTAACCCAACTTCAACTTTTACTTTAAACTGTACATTTTTTAATTACATTTTTAACCCAACATTTAGGTTTGTCCATATTTGACCCAAATTTGACCCAGCATTTTTAGACGGGTGGTAGTTAACAACACTCTAAAAAATGCTGGGTTGTTTCAACCCAAATTTGGGTCAAATATGGACAAACCCAAATGTTGGGTTAAAAATGAAATAAAATTTTAAAACAATGTACAAGTGAAAGTTTTAACCCAAAATTTGGGTTTGTCCATATTTGACCCTAATTTGGATCAAAACAACCCAGCATTGTTTAGAGTCTATTACAATATCTCAGAAAAAAAAAGGGTAAAGCTGTCACTGGAGTAGATGCAGGTACAAAATCTGGAAAGTTACATCTTTGCACCGTATTTACCTCTAAATATAGTATTATATAAATATATATATATTTTTATAAATATAATTTAAAAATGTATCCCAATGGCTGGGTTTGTCCATATTTGACCCAAAATTGGGTTAAAACAACCCAGCATTTTTTAGAGTGTAATATTACTTATGGTAAAGTGTTACCCAATAACTCTGACTATATCAACATGCAATATTGTCAACAAAAAATGTTTACTATTAAAAAAGTTAAGTTAATTATAAACATTTTTTTTTTCATTTTATATAATTTTCGCTTTATTTTCGTCAACAAAAAGTAATATGGTAGAATACTACATTTACATTTATTTATTTAGCAGGCAAATGAGAGCAATAGCAGTTAAACTAACGATCTGCAAGTGCCAGTTTAATCTAACAGGTCATGTACTTTGTTTTAACAGAAGAGAACGTGCTAGCGTATGGTTTAGTATAACCTGCCATCCGCGCGGAGAAGGCGAAGATGATGATGTCATCGAAGGCCCAGCTGTAGTCGGGGTGCGGCGGGAAGAAGGCCAGCTGACGGGACGCTTGTTTCCTCAGGTCCAGCAGGAGCGTGGAGTGCACCATGGGTACAGCGAAGCAGCCCGTCCTCTCCTGCCGCCGGATGGGCATGTAGGCCGGCGTACGCCTGTAATAACCCTGCACACACACACACACACACCACGTTCCTTTAGCTCGGACTCTGGCGGGGAAATGTTGCCACTCGAAAAAAATGCTAAACGCACGTTCACATCAAACACGACCAATCAGAGATCAAGTGGAAAAAAGAAGAAATCCAAGGCACTCTTCTTCAAAATCAGGCTATTTCATTATCGAAAATGAAAAGACAAATAGTGGGATTTATTTACAGGGAAGTAGCGTGCCGTGAAAAACATCCACCAACTGCAAAGTGTTTAACGTTACAAATAGTAAACTAACACCACAAATACTTCCAACACAAAAGAAAACAAACTCTAAAAATATGTCCACGTATCAACTACACACTCTCTGTGACTAAAATCACTCTGAATTGAACCACGATTTTAACGATAACGACACAAATGAACGATATTACTGGAATCAACTTCAGACCGTTTTTTTTCCAGCGGATGAACGATAAAAATATTGACAGCCAATCAGAATCCGTCTTAGAGCATTTAAAGCGACAGACGACAAAACTGTGTACGATTGTATTGTTGGTGTGACGCTAATATCGTTATCGTTATCATTTTTGGCGTGAAAATGTGGAAGATAAAGGTGAAACTGAAATGTTTATAATTATAAAACTTAGATTCATTCAAATTAGTTATTTAAAAATGTAAATATATTTTTCTATTATTTAGATCATTTTATATAATTTCGCTTCATTTTGGTCTACAAAAAAGAAAAAAAGACTAAAATATAGCTCTTACAGATTATATTTTAATATATATATATTTATTATATGTAATATAAATGTTTTTAAAACAAGTTTAAATCTCTTAAATGAAAAAAGTTGATGAAAAAAGGTGAAACTATACAAATACAAATTAAGTTAATTATGAAAAATTTTAAATATTTATATAATTTTATCCATTTGATATAATTTCACTTTATTTCCATCAACAAAAAGTTGAAAGAATATTATATAGTTCTCTCTATATTATTAAATAATATAAATGTTTTTTAAACAAAGCCTTGGCAGATGTGAAGAGTGTAAATCCCCCAATCAGAGACACATTTTCCCTGACTAATCTTGACTAAGAATAAGGTTTGATACATATGATATATACTACATTTGTCCCAGGACTAAGACTAAGACCAGTTGAGGGAAGGACACACTCGTGCTGGTGTTTCCACACACACACACACACACACACCTGCGAGGTCATGCCGCACCAGAAGTTTGAGTACGCGGCTCTGGACTCCAGCATCGGCGCCACGATCGTCTTGTTCTCGCGCATCAGCTTCCACAGCACGTCTCTGTTGGTCAACAGATTATCACAGTCCACCACCTGAAACACACACACATGATGTCACATGAGCATAAGCCCGCCTCCAGAGCCACCATCCACCAATAGAATTACAGCATCAAACATGTGACCCTAGATCACAAAACCGGCCAACAATACACTCTATAGGTCAAAATCATCAATTTTATTTTATTATTACGCAAAGATCATGTTCTATGAAGATATTTTGAACATTTCCAAATGTAAATATATAAAACGTGTATTTTTGTGAGTGAATGCGACAATCGCACAACTTTAGAGATGATTTTCTCAATGTTTCGATTTTTTTGCACCCTCCAGATTTTTATATAGGCGTATATCGGCCAAATAATGTCCTCGTCAATGGATCATTTATCCAAGCTTATTCATTCAGCTTTCTTATGATATATAAATCTCAATTTCAAAATAAATATGTCGTTGTCCAGAGTCACATACCAATGGATAATGTTGGGATTTAACCGCAGATCTGTCTCGGTACACACTTCAGAAGATCCCGCGGTTCATATCCCAGATCACATGTTTGTTCGGAGCATTTGACAGATTTGTTTGTGAATGAGGAACAATTTAATAATATAGTGTCTGCAAAGAAACTTTAGTTGAAAGATGAAGCTCAAACCGTGAGTAATAATGCTTCGTCTGTACATGATGGTTTTATATGGAGAATGTTTTACACACTTACTTATGTAATGGCGAGTGTGTGACGTAACGTTAGCCAATCATAACAGCGGCCGTTTACTGACAAACTTTAGAGACTTAAAAACTGATCATTTCAGACAGGCTCAGAATGAGGGATGGAAATAATCGTTTTTTTCTGTGCAAAAACCTTTATTATCTTTATAAGAGAATAATCTAATATTTGATGCATGTTATTTACAAATAAATACAAATGTATTATAGTTTAAATATATATTAAATGCAATTAGCTGAGCATTAGAGTGATTTTTGACTCACAATTGCGGGACTAAAGCACATTTATAAAGCATTTATATGCAATTTCATTCTATTGTTATTTGAAAATGGCTAAAAGTACTGCTGAAATTACTGATAATTATTAATCCTAAACTAAAATATAATGTAATCTTGTTTGTATTGAAACTTGTTTATGTATTTAAATATATTTGTAAATCACACATTTATAAGGATGAAGTGGCAACTAAGTAAATTTAACTGAAATTTGTAGCACTAGCTAAAGCATTTTGCACAGAAAAAATAAATTGGCCAATGATTTGTCCCATAAATCATTAATAATAATAGTTATAATAATAATAATAATAATAATAATAGATTTTATTTATAACGCACTTTACATTCCAAAGAATCCCAAAGTGCTACATAAAAGAACAACAATAATAGCTACAGAATACTAAAAACAATAAAACAATCAGCACATAAAAGCCTCTCTAAATAAAAAAGTCTATATATAAAATTATATATTACTTAAAAATTATATAAGGAATTGTTTTGAAATTGGAATATTATTTAGTTTAAATTGAATTTCTGGCAGAAATCGAAGATAAAACTTGATTCTGTTTCCCAGAAATCATTGTCCTCGTGTCATGCCAGTGGATGTGACGGATGTGACCCGTGAGAAGTGTGTATGATCATATAATGAACACAAACCAGCCAGAAACCTCAAAACTGTGCCGCCGAAGCGAATCACAGAGCAGCAGAAATAAACAACACACACACTGAACAGCGCTGCTAACTTTAGCTGAGCGAACACACACACGGGTCGTGACCTCTGACCTGTAATTACAGCGTGAGTCCAGGTCGTGTACTGTCATTATCTTCATGTTACGGCTGAGGACAGAAAGCCACACACACACACACACACACACTTGGAGAGGATTTAGAGGATGTACCAGGAAGTAGTCGGCCCACATCTCTCGGGCCGTGTCCAGCGCCGCCTGACGCAGCTTCATCACGTGCTCGTAGCGGAGATTCGTCCAGTGCTTTGGCCCACTCTCGTCCTCGTAGGCGCTGACAAACACACACCGAGGTCATTTAAACAATCACACGTATGACAAACACACACGTTTCATTTAAACAATCACACATGTGAACACGTTAAAGGTGCAGTGTGTGTATTTGAGAGGCATCTAGTGGTGAGGTTGTGAATTTCAGACACACTCCGACGTCAACACAGATTTTTCTCCTATTAATCTAATATACATTAAGATGCAATTCATACGTAAAACGACTGAAATGCACTACAATGATCATCCCAGACAGCAGCGTAGTGTCGGCCCAGACCCGGCCCACATCCGGGGATCCGTGTGTGCCAGATGATCTTTTATATTAAAAATGTAATGTAGTTTATAAATTCAGATTGTAATTCAGTATAAAAATGCATTTAGCAAAAGTTTGGATTATTTGATCAATAAAAAGAACAACATTTATATAAAATGGAAATATTTTATTGCAATATACACTACCATTCAAAGGTTTGGGGTCAGTCTTTGTTTTATCTTTTATTAATTAATACTTTTATTCAACAATTACGTGTTAACATGATAATAAGAAAAAGTGAAATTAAAGATTTAAATTGTTAAAATAAAAATTGGGTTGTTTTTAACTTTTTATTCATCAGTGAATCCTGAAAACGTATCACAGGATCAGTGTTGGGTAAGTTACTCTAAAAAAGTAATTAATTACTAGTTACTAATTACCTCTTCAACAGTGTAATTAGATTACTGTAAAATTAGAGCCAGACCGATATATCGGCCGGCCGATATTAGACATTTTTCAAACTATCGGCATCGGCAGTTATAATGGCTGATAAATTAATATTTAAAAATAAAATAAAAATGGACGAAACACGCTTCAATCATCTCTCCTTGACCTGTTAAATTGAATATGTATGTTTTACAATTTGCAGTATGACATTATCTATTGCTAAATTATGGCTCACTATAGACTAGCACCTGACATTGTAATTATATGGTAGCTTATAAGGCAATGTAGGGACTAATTATTATTTTATTTATCAGAACTTAAGATATTTTGATGTTCCTCTGTGACAAGTTTCATTTTAAAATGCTTTATCATATTATTTTAGTTAAAACTCATAAATAACTTCAAACAACTATGTTAGGGAAATCTGTTAATGTTTTGTTGTGCGTTTCTGAAAAAAAATAAAATATCGGCAGATATATCGGAATTTCGGATTTTAAAACCAAAAAAATATCGGCCGATATATCGGAATATCGGATTTTAAAACAAAAAAAAAATATTTATATCGGTATCGGCCTTCAAAATCCTTTATCGGTCGGGCTCTAATTAAAATATATCAAGCAGCACCATAATAAATCCTCATATTAGAGTGATTTCTGAAGGATCATGTGACACTGAATGCTGGAGTAATGACGCTGAACATTCACAGGAATAAATTACACTTTATTGTAGAATACCATTATTTTAAATTGTAATAATATTTCACAATATTACAGTTTTTACTGTATTTTTGATCAAATAAATGATAAACATAAGACACTTATTTCAAAAACATTAAGAATAGTAATGTTTCCAAACTTTGTGTGTGTGTGAGTGTGTGTGTGTGTGTGTGTTCACCTGGGCTCCTCCTGTGGTCTCCACTCCACATAGTGATAAAAGCTCTGGACGTTGATCAGCCATTCCCGCAGGATAGCGGAAGTGTTGTCGGAGTTATGATCCGTGGCCACCCTGAGGAGAGATCACACACACACACACACACACTCTAATCACAGCTTTCTGATGTTCCTGAATGTAAAATAACCCCATCATTAACTTCACTGCACGACCTTTGGAAAGTGAAGCTTGTGTTGAACGTTTGGCTGCAGAGACGGACACACTTTTACTCAGGTCGCACAAGTTCATACTAGAAACATGTGTATGTTCAGAAGAAGATCCATGAGAGACTGAAGAATCAAAACCATCACTGAGATCAAACACAGATCAGGCTTTACTGTCAACAGACGGGCCCAGGTGCTGCTGTATCACACACACACACACACACACACACACACACACACACACACACAGGCGGAAGGGAATGGAATGTGCCTCAGGAACATTTATGTGTGTGTGTGTGTGTGTGTGTGTGTGTGTCTGAATCCTACCATGATTGTCACTAAACTTGCAAAGACAAGCACGACTCGCGGCTTTAATTAACTTTTTTATGTCAACAGATTCCACAAAACTGGATTACGTTGAACAAACATCATTTGTTCGTGTAACTTCAACATCATGGAATAAGTAATGTTAAGTGAACCAATTAAAGTACACAGCAAAATCTAGTGCTAAATTAAAAGTGTGAATTAGATTGTTAAATAAACACTCAAGAGTGTTAAAGTTAATGAGATAATGAAGTGAATAATTGAGTAATGATTGAGCATTATTGAAGACACCTGATGATAACTCTTTTGCTGTAAGTGTTTGTTACAACTAACATCAAATAATGAAGGCCAAAGACCCCAACTAACACACAAAATGTTTTCAGCATTTATTATAATCATACATTTTTAATGAGCATCAAAACATCATATTAGAGTGGTGAAGACCAACTAAAGCAAACTCTTTAGATTTAGATTTACTATATATTCACTTATTATGAAAACACTTATTTTAAATTGTAATAATATTTCACAATATTACAGTTTTTACTGTATTTCTGATCTTGTTGAGTAGAAGACAGTTCTTTCAAAATATAATCTAACCAAGCCCAAACCTTTAACATAATCTCATATTACATATAATTATGGTGCTAAAATGGTGATAAAACTTCTGTGGGTGCGAATCACATCTGTAATAATGTGGTCACCGGATTCATGGACAGATTTGCGCTCATTTGATACTTAAAGTCATTAAGAAAAAGAAAGGGTGGGAAACCGCAGCTCTGAGGCGGGAACCAATCACACGGAGACGCCCAACCCGCGGGAACCGACCGGGATATAACGGGAGAGGTGAAGAGAAACCCCGCGGAGGTGTTCAACACAAGCTGTCTGATGACTTGTGTGAACCGCAGCGTTCCCCCGCTGTAATGCTATACGCTCGTGTAGCGAGGCTACTTGTTAGCGGTCAGCGCCTCTCATAACTGATTTGAGTGCAGTACTGCAGTTTGAGTTTAATCCTGCAATAAAGATGCAGATTATATGGAATTTGATGTGTGTGTGCTGAAACACAGATCTGCCAATGTCCAGTTCAGTTTAAATTGGCTAAAGCGCTAGCGAGCCCACAGCACACATGTGGTTTAGTTCTGGTCTGTTTGTGGCAGCGACACACACACCCTGGCGGTTCGCTACACACTGCTTCAGTTCTGAGGCCCCGTATACACAGATATTTCCCAGCTCAAATACACGAAAACCCCGTTTTTATCACAGAAAACGATTATTTCTAAAAACTCCGGCTAAAGTGGAGATTTCTAAAAAAGGCCGGTTGTGTGTTGTCCTGTAAACTGGGAGAAACGGGGTTTTAGGTTCTCTCATGTCGATTCTGAGGATTCTGATTGGCTTGCATGGCTTTATCCTGCCGCCCACATGTTTGCCATAGTTATAATGAGACTCTTTTCATGATATATGTCAGAAATGTTTTACATATGCAGCGGCTAATCAGTGCCAGCGCTATTTTAAACTCACCCAACAATTAAACACTCCTTAAATGGAGATTTCACCCACAAAGTAAGTCTTTTATTATCATGGTTTGTTGTACTCATTTAGTCACTACAGACTTTATTTGATGTTAACGGATGTACACATTGAATTCAGCAGGATTTTAATTTGATAGCAAGACCGAAGAGGAAGATATTCGATGAATAATGAGTTTCACCAAAACTTGGAATAGGGCTTATGATTATTTGGTAACGCTTCCTTTTACAGTACAGTACTTACAGTATACTTGTAGTGTATTTACCTAAAGTACTGGGTAATGTGAGGTAAGTACATGGAACAGGGTTAGGTTTAGGGTTAGTACTAGTTATTACCCAGTAATTGTGGTTACTAAAATAAGCACATAGTATTTACATGGGTAACTGGACTGTAAAAGGAAGCATTACCGATTATTTTAGTAATCTAGTTATATAGTAGATTATTTATGCGTTTAATCTAGTTAACGGTTTATTATTTTTTGGAGATTCGTCAAGTAACCTGACGATTTTTTTTTCAATGAATCAAGTAATCAGATCTTTTTGTTTGTCAATAAAAATAGATTGAAGTGAACAATAACCATTAAAATGACTTAAAATATCATATAATAAGTAGGCCTACACTGTAAAAAAATATTGATGGTTTAACTTAAAAAAGTAAGTAACCTGGGTTGCCTTAAAATTTTAAGTTCATTGAACTGGAAAAAGTGAGTTAATACAATGAAGGAGATTAATTTAACCATCTGAAACTCAAAATTATATGTTATCTGAACTAAATAAATTATTTAAGTTGATTTGACAAAAGAAAAAATGTTGTGATTACTACACTGCAAAAAAATATTGTTGGTTTAACTTAAAAAAGTAAGTAACCTGGTTGCCTTAACATTTTAAGTTGATTGAACTGGAAAAAGTGAGTTAATACAATGAATTAGATTAATTTAACCATCAGAAACTCAAAATAATAAGTTATCTCAACTAAATAAATTATTAAAAAGTTGATTTGACAAAAGAAAATATGTTGTGATAACAAATCTTTAAAATATTTTTACAGTAACAACGAGGTTTATCGTTGAAGTTTCATAAGCAATAATCGTACGTTAACAATATACATAATTTACAACATAATATAATCATAATCAACTTACATTATTTTAACAAGTGCATGCAGAGGACTTTACAGTAGATCAAAACAGTGTTTAATGTTAATCTTTAATATTTGTCCACTTCTTTACGATAGAAATACTACAGCCACTGTAATTTATTAAACGTGGACAAACAAAATCTAAAGTTAAACATGTAAAGGTCAACTGACCAACCTTAAACCAAACAGTTTGAGTTTTCTCCTTCAGTGATTCTGCTTGTGATCATCAGGTGTCTTCAGTAATGCTCAATCATCACTCAATCAATAACTTAGAGAGCACATTAACATTAACGTGTCAGTGTTAACGCTCAAATTAACACCCTTGAGTTTTTGCTGTGTAGTAACATTCAGGAAACTGGACATTTTTATATTCTTGGAATGTTAGAAATCAACATTAAGAGTAATTTTCGATTATAAATTCAACATGATAAAGAACGTGTGAAGAATTATATCTTTTAAAACACGTTCCTCTAACATTAAGAAAATTGGAATTTTGAAAAGAAATTGGACATTTTTCACGTTCCCAGAACCAACACTGAATATTTAGAGAACGTTCTTATAACAAAATTCTGTTTGCTTGGAATGGGTGCAAATAGTATCTGCCTTTATAGGTATAAATAGCATTTCATATTTACACTTATTCCAAATAAAATTCTGATATTTTTACATAGAATCGACTGGTATTTAAACTTTTTTAAAAATGTATCAATTTTAACATTTTTGTTTTCCATTAATGTCGAAATATATATTTTTTTCTTAAACTTTTAGTTTTATTCTCAACAGTAAATTAACGTGCTCTTAATTATTATTATTATGAATCAACAATAGTTCACCGTGCATTTAATAGGCTACGTTTATATGTGTCGATCATATTTCCTGAGATCATGAAGTCTCTCAGAACAGAAGGTGTTTGATAAATGTCGTCTCGCTGTCGCCGCAGGGAAAGTTTTCCGCTCACTGACTCTCATTCACGCAGAACACTGTTGTTTCCTCACAAATTCCATCCGCGCGCTCAACGCGCACTCACGCGGCGCGTGGTACAAAGACACGTCGGCTGATCGGATCATGATGAGTGGAAAAAGGGGGCAGAGCTGAAGCTGCTCGGGGGCATGAAGGGGTGTCTGTGTGCCCAGGACACGTCTAAACTCGCTCGTTTCCCTCCACACACAGAGTCCACAGCAGAGAGAGTCTCATTCCCAAACACACATCAATCTCACACACTCATGTAAGCACAGCTGTCGTTAGTTTAGTTCACCCAACACACAAACACTTCTGTTGTTTACTTCCCATCACTTTGAGGAAACCCTGCAATCACCGCAATACAGTTCACACGCAAAACATCAGTCCAGTGGACGCGCATCTGTCAGACGCGTAATTGCGCAAAACACCAAATCTGATAATAATCTCTATCCGCCAGACTCACCATACACCCATGCGGTCTTTGGGGTAGTTGAGGCGGTCGATGGCGCCGAGGACCTGCGGGAGAGAGTGCGCGGAGTTGCGGCACACCAGCGCGAGCAGCACCCGCGGCGCGAGCAACGCGGACTCCGGGCTCCAGCGCTCCTCCGGGAAATAACTGCGCACCGGGCCGCTCCACAGCAGCAGGACAAAGAAACACAGCAGATGCATAGCCGGAGAACGAGCCCGAGAAAAGCGGAATATTACGCAGAAACGCGGAGCCGCGAGACTGATCGCGCAGCGCTGACGCGAACAGTGACCATCACCGATTAAATGCCCACCGACATAAACACGGAGAGACTCTTGGTGGTCCCCGGAGGAGAATTAAAGGGAAGGGTTTCTTACTAAAAGTGGAAACATCGTAGTACCAAAAAGTCAGAAAAATCCACTTTCCTCAATCATCCGGCAAATGACAGAGAAATTATGATATCTGGTAATTAAACTGTACAGACTTAAGAGTTATGAGTGACAAACCCACAATCTGGGGTATGCGCCTTTAATTTCGCGGCGGCCCCTTTAAGAAAAGCAGCTGTGTTCTGTTGGAATCTGCCAGAAAATGTATGGGCGTGGCTTAACACACACCCCTGCCAAATATACAAGCGTGCAACAGTGAATCTCAAGTAGAACATATAGGCTACTGTAATCATAACTCGTAAAAATAACATAAAAGAAGACAATTGTCTCATTGATTCTGCCCTAAATTAGCTAACTGGTTTGTTAGGTAGGTAGGTAGGTAGGTAGGTACCCTATGTACATTTCTATATACAAGCCCAACATGTATTTGTACATTACAAATACATGTTGGGCTTAGTAAACTCAATTGTAATGTAGTAGATGCATGCATTTTCTATAAAGCTGCTTTGAAACTATAGGCGCTACACAAATAAATGTTGGATTGAATCTGATAGTCACAAATATTTTTAAAAAATGTGTGTATACGTTGCCAATAAACAAATATTTGTATTTGCTTTTGCGTCATGTATCTGAGAGTTTTGAGCGAACAGCGCCTCCTGTTGTTCACATAGCCTACACACGTTCTGTTGTTCCACAACTTTTTCTTCCAATCAGATATTGACATGTCATTTCCTCACAAGCAGAGAGGCTGTACTAAATAAAGATGTGTTTGTTTTCTCTGTCCTCATCATTTTCCTCTTTTCTTAAAAGAGTTTTTGTTCGCAGTGAATTATAGTAAAACTTTTCTCTCTCCAAATGTCTCTCGAGGACGAGCTGTCGTGTCCCGTGTGCACTGATCTCTTCAGAGAGCCTGTGTTACTGAGCTGTGGCCACAGTTTCTGCCGCCAGTGCGTTAATGATCACTGGAGCTCGAGCAGATCCAGGACCTGTCCCGTCTGTGTCCAATCTGAGCCTGAGGAACACCTGTGAGAGAGAACAACTCGAGGAAGGAGAGAGAGAGAGAACATGTACGTAATGCTAGAATACTGAAGTGTTTATGACTCATTTTAGCCTTTAGCAGCGCTCAGTTTTCACATTAGTTGTTTACATTGCAAGACATCCTGTAGTATTCAATCAGATGATGACTTTAAAACTTCCGAAGTGTTTCTCATATATCTCTGCATCAGATGTTCAGTCAACAATCCAAAAAATCCAGCTAAAACCAGCCTAGGCTGGTTGGCTGGTCTTAGCTGGTTTAAGCTGGAAGTAGCTGGTTTTAGTTGGTCACCCAGCCTGACCAGCTAAGACCAGCCTGACCAGCTAAAACCAACTTGACCAGCTAAGACCAGCCTGACCAGCTGAAAAAGTGTTCAAAACCCCTCTAAAACCAGCCTGATAAACCAACTATAACCAGACTGGGAGACCAGCCAAAACCAGCCAACCAGCCTTGGCTGGTTTTAGCTGGATTTTTCAGCAGGGTAGTCAACCACGTTTCAACTAATTATTAAATGCTTAAGTCTGGCAGGCCAATTCAGTGCTGACGAATAACTGACCTCATGATATCCCGACTGACCAATCAGGATCAAGTATTTCTGTGAAATAATATCAATTTAGATGATATTCTGCAGCTCAACAGGTGTGTTATGTTCTAAAGTCATTTTTGGTTCACTGTGTTATACACTAGTATTTTATAATGAAATTATTAAAACTATAATTCTTAGATATTTGGCTGTTGATATTTTTTGTTTATATATTTTTGTTTTATAAACACAGTTTGTCTGCATTGAGAGGCTTCTGAGCAACAGGACAGTTTTGTTAGTTTTTGTTAGTTTCAGTCTGATATATTAATTATGAGTCGGACTCGTGAAATCTTCTACAAACACACATGCTGGAGGCAAGAGACAAAGGCAGATAACAGATTATAAAAGCTTTATTGATTCATTTATCAAAGTTATATAAAAAGAAGAAGAAGAAGATATCGGCTGGAAGAAGTAGAACAATTTTGGATGGAGACTCCTTAGCAGTTAATTGGTAAATATAGTAGTATGAAAATAGAAAAGTATATTAAAAAAAAATCATTAGAGAAAAATGATTACGCTTGATAACTGCATGCAATGCCTGTATATATTTGGAATGCATTTTTGCGTAAATGCCTCTTTAACTCGATTCAAGGGCAAGACACTCGTTTACTGGTCTAGAGATTCTGTTCTATTTAGCTTTTTTATTAAACTTTCTACATTTCTGTTGCAGATTTCAGGGGTCTTGCCTTAAACTGATTTTCCATCCTCAGAGTCCAGGGAAAAGGTAGAGTTTCTTGCCAACGGACGTCCTGTCAATACATGGCATTAGTTTTTCCAGACCTGTGAATCGTGGATCTTTCTCCATGCGTAAGGCGATCTATAATAAAAAAGATCCAATTTAAATGTGACAAGACTGTATTCAGTTTAGCAGTATTTAATTTTATTTTAGCAATTTAAATGGGATTTTTTAACATTTACCATCCTGAACAACTCCATGATGTCATCAATATGAGCCTGTTTACAGAACACATCCACGATGTAACAGATAAAATAACTTCCTTCGACGGGATGCCTGTATGCACTGATACCTGTGGAGGAAAAACATTGGTAGGATGAAGAACTTCACAAAGCAACCCAAACTTTGAAGAAGGTGAACTGATGAAAGCACATAAAAGTCTGTTCATGTTTGTTTCAAAGTGTAAATCGATATTAAAGTAACATACTTAAAAAAAATTACAACAGTTGCTTTATTTCTGAATCATTGAAGAAAATGAACAGTGTGTAATGTGAGGTAAATTAATCTTGCATCAGAAATCTGTGTTTTTTCTCAGCACTCACCAGGGAGGCAGGACTTAAAACAGAAAAAGTCTTTCTCTAAGTGCACAAAGGCGTCTGATTGTATTTCAACACCTCCTGGGTGATCTGAACAGAGAAATGGTTAATTATATGCATGATAATATTACAGTAAATCCAGGAAAAACTCTGAGTACAAAGAGAAACAGAAGTATGATAGGAGGAGCTGAGTTGTATCAGTAATGTCGAACCTCCTCTGCAGGCTTGGATCAGAATAACCTTTGGTTTGTCGATCAGAGCAGGACAGTTCTTTGAGTTCAGATGAGAGAAGATGTCGTCAACAAAGAAGAAATCCTTGGGGTTTTTCGGATAGTCGACACCTATAATGGCATCTTTATTGTTGATTATGTTCCCATGAGACATCAGAACCACAAACGTGCTGTCCGAGTCTCGATGTTCAGAACGTCTGGCGAAGATCCTGACTTTATCCTTTATTTCCTGTCAATATAAAACATTTTTTTAAAGAAATGCATAATGCATTGTAAAATATGTGTCTCCATTTCTATATCCACACTAGAAATCCACTAGCTCTATACGCACGTCCCCAGTTAGATCTGTGTATTTCTCAACACTGTAACCCAGAGCCGTCAGCAGCCACTCCATGTTGTCATGGTCTCTCTCGGCTCCTTTCCTGTTACCTGATGAGTCCTTGAATCGTATGTTGGTGATCAGCAGAGCTAAACGTCTCCTCTGAGACTTGTCCTTCGGGATATAAACCTGAGAAAACATCAGTAGCAGAGTTAGAACTCTGAAACTAAACCAAATAAGGAGTGATTATAAATGCATTGTGTGAATATAGATTGTTCAACAATATAAAATTCATAATAATATAAAATAAATCATAAAAAGTGATTTATATGTCATTTAAGTTTTGTTTCTAGATATCATGAGAGAACAATATTTTTGTTTTAAAAATACAAATAGCCTTAAAGACATAATTCTTTAGTCTGCCTACAGAGACGCGTTTTTGTTGACGACCTGCTTGGCGGATCATTAGGAAAGATTAGATGAATGTGATCAACTGAAATCGCTGATACAACCTTTAAAGTTAAAAAGAAAATGGCTCTGTAAAATAGTGTAATTTAATTAAATGCATTTATGGTGAGTTTACTATATTTCCATGCCAATCCGTGTTCATTCTGACCACGAACCATGCGCTGTCCCTTTAATTCAGACATTTGGAAAAACTTTAATTTCATCATGTGTGTAATTCTAACATGTTTGGTTGGTAAAATAAATATGTTGTAAATTCAAATCATTCCGTGTCTGGAATGGATGTATTCTTGAGTCTATAAGGTAGGCCTATCAATAATATAATAAGATAACTTGATTGATAAGATAATAAGATAAGATTGTTTGATGGGTTTGGCTAAAATAACATTTTGATTTCGTCATATACGTCATACTACTAGGTAATTATATTATAATTACTAAACAGAGACTAAAATACAATTCTCATTGACTAAAACTAGACTATGTCTTTCGTCGACTAAAACTAGACGAAAATAATCATGGATAATTCTGACTAAAATGGTCAGACTTAGTCAACTGAAACTTGACTAGACTAAGAAGAGTATGAACGTGACTAAAACTAATAAAAACTAAAATGACAGCTTGACCAGACTAAAACTAAAATTAAAACAGGCCGCCAAAAACAAGATACTTGCATTATTTCTGTTGTTCCTGAGAGTTGCGCTCCTAAACTCTTGGCTGCTTTGAGTAATGCTCTTTGGTCTCGTCCAGTCGGACTGGATGGGCTGATCCTCCACAGACGCTGAAGCATTTCTTCCGTCCACCGTCTCAGACGGCAGAACTGAAAACACACATCACAATACATCAACATTCTCTACATCTGTCTGCAGTTATGAATGACTGCCTACAGTATTAAGACTTTGAAGAGCTTCAACCCATATTTTGAACCTAATTTTCTGTTTGATCTATTGCAATGATCTATAACATTTAAACATTTACACAATATTCACATGATTACTTATAACAAACACACATTTGTATGTGCAAATATGTTAACATAACTGTACAATTTCATATGTATTTTTTCATAATGATGACTTCTATTCAATCTTAAACCAGTATAAATTTTTATTCTTTACCTTCCTGAAGTTTTCCCTCAAGTTCGCTTGCGAGATCATTTTTCTCCATGCATCGCAGCACTTGAACTGCAATATTGCCAGCATTAGTAGAGTACTGCGATGCCATGCAATCCACGACATCACGGCGATTAGCTTTCTGAAGCTTTGCTGGAAGAATAGGCGTGATGTCTTCTGTCATAGGATTCAACAGGTGCCAGATGAACTGATCGAGGTCTTCATCTAGAAGCTTCTGGAGTTCCTTAATCAACACCACTTTTATTTTAGTGACGGCCATTTTGTGTCACTGGAAGAAAAAGGACAAGTTAAAAGTAGCCTACACTAATTTTGCTCTTGAAGAATTTCCTAAGATGGCTTTCAAAATGTATAGCATTCAATAAAAAGTTAATATTGCTCAGCTAAATACTCCGAAAAACCTGATCGGACGGGAATTCGTACGAATTTTACGAGGTGGCTAATTCGTAACAATTCGTACGACCTCACTTGTACGAATTAGTGCGATTTTGCTAAATCGTACATATTTTACGAATTAGCCAATTCGTATGAATTCGTACGAATGACCTACCCCTGACCCCGCCCCTAAACATAACCGTCACGTGGGTTTAGACAAATCGTACAAATTCGTACGAGTGAGGTCGTATGAATCAGTACGAATTAGCCGCTTTTGAATCACTCGTACGAATTCGTACGAATTGGTCGTGAGATAGGGTAGGATCGGATGATCATGGTATGACTGTGAAGTGTTTTGACGAAGTGAACGCCCTTTAGTGTTCAGTAACTGCATTAGGCCTAAATGTGTATTTCTCTCTCTCATGCATGTCACAATAATCATATATACAGTGTTTAACGGATTGTTGGTTTTAATAGAAACTTTTTTAGCCTGATGTGCGTAACTACTGTAGACGACATTTACCTTAACGGTGCAAATACTGCAAAGATGAACAGCAAGTTGCAATCGCAAAATGGACAAAAACAAATAACCAATAGACTTTTGCACAACATAGTAGGCTGTGTTATGTATCCTGATTGACTTTATAGTTAAATCTGTTTTGCACATGCATCGCCACAGAGTTAACTATTTCAGACAGTACCGGACAGCCTCGTTCACTCGTTTTTTGTTTGTTTTTTTGGTGCCTGTGTTTGGCTTAGCCGCTTCTCTGTCTGTATTTATTTGCTTTATGATCAGTCTTTTAAACCAATCATCCTCCTTGATTTGCTGAGTTTGACTAATAAAATGAATGTGTCCTCTTGTCCACAGGATATAATACCATCTTTATTATTCTCAAAAGCACTCCCTGTCACTGTGTCCCATCCTATTTTAAAAATGACACTATTCAACCTATATTAAAAAAGCCTAATTTGGACCTTACAGTTTTGAAGAACTGTCTGCCAGTTTCATTTTTGTCCAAAATTCTTGAAAAAGTTGTGGCTAATCAACTTACAGATGTCTTTGAAATTTGGCAAACAACTCCAATTTCTCTATCAGGTTTTAGGAAGAGACACTCTGAGACCGCCTTGGTGAAAGTCTATAATGACCTTCATATGGCCTCGGACGCAGGTCTATGGTCAGTGTTGGTACTTCTAGAGCTTTGATAATGTGGACCACCATATCATGATTAGGAGATTAGGTGAATGTGTGGGCATATCGGGAGTGGCCTGATTGGTTTACCTCATATCTTTCAGATAGAAGTTTTGATGTCTATATTGGTGATTCCCACTCTGTATCATCCCCCCTGTTTTGTGGTGTTCCACAGGGTTCAGTGTTGGGCCCAATATTGTTTATTTTATACTTGTTGCCTCTGGGTCAGATCATTTGTGATTTTAACATTTCTTATCACTTCTACAGATGACATTCAGCTTCAAATGAGTCATCCAAACTTACAAGGCTCTTGGATGCCATAAACAGCTGGAGGGCTGAAAGTTTTTTGCAGCTGAACGTAGATAAGATGGCGGTTTTAATTGTAGTGCCAGACAGCTCTATCCCTCTGATTATGCAGAACCTTTGTCATCTGCAGTACATAATATTAGTAAATTGAGGTCTGTGGTCTCTCACTCAGAAGAACTGGAGATGCTCATTCATGCCTTCATTTCCTCCCGTATTTATTATTGTAACTCCCTTTTCCTGTTCCAACGTCTATGGTTATGTGATGTAATTTTTTATGAAATAGCTATACACTACCGGTCAAAAGTTTTTTTTATTTTTTTTTATTATTTTTTTTTAAAAGATTTATTATGTTTTTAAATGAAGTCTCTTCTGCTCACCAAGGCTGCTTTATGTGATGAAGAAAAAAAAAAGACAAACAGTAATATTGTGAAATATTATGACAATTTAAAATGACTGTTTTCTATTTTAATATATTTTAAAATGTAATTTGAAAGCTGAATTTTCAACATCATTACTGTTGCTGATTACACATCAGTTTTCAGTGTCACATGATCCTTCAGAAATCATTCTAATATGCTGATTTTATGCTCAAAAAACATAAATTATTATTTTCAATGTTGAAAACAGTCGTGTACCCCCCTCCCCAAATTCTATGATGAATAGAAAGTCCAAAAGAACAGCATTTATTTAAAATTTTAAAATATAATATTTTCTAACATTATAAATTTCCTTTACTGTAACTTTTGATCAATTTAACTCATCCTTGATGAATAAAAGTATTTTCTAATTTCTTTGCCCCAAAAATAAATTATCACTGACCCCAAACTTTTGAATGGTAGTGACAAAAGCTTTCCATTTCAGATCAATTCTGTTCTTTTGAACTTTCTGTTGATCAAAGAATCCTGAAATAAAAATGTAAAAAACTGTTTTCAACATGGATAATAATCATAGGCTAAATGTTTCTTGAGCATCATATTATAATAATTTCTGTAGGATCATGTGACACTGAAGACTGGAGTAATGATGCTGTAAATTCAACTTTGATCACAGGAATAAAATCGTCATAATATTTCACAATATTACTGTTTTTTTTTTGTGTTGTTGTTGTTGTTTGGTTGTTGTTTTTTTTGCCTATACTGTATAAGGCGAGAGAAAATCAAGCGCGAGGGCGTGGGGGAATGATCATTCGGGCGCGCGCGGGCTTATGTTGCCTGCAGAGCAGAGGAGATGTCATGCGCGAGCGCAGGGTTTGAATGAACTCGCGAGTTCCCGTTTCCTCGCGTGTAGATTATCCTCTCTCGGAAGTTATTAACCGCGCGCGCCAGCATCAGTTGTGCCCTTGGGTCTTTTAGGCATTGATTTTCCGCCATACCACTATAGCCTGCTGTCTACTTAAGTTCTAATAAACTGACTTTGTTCGTCAGAACATTCTCTCTCAGAAAAAAAGGTACAAAAGCTGACACTGGGACGGTCCCCTTTAAAAATGTTCTTCTAATAAAGGTACAAAGGTGTACATGTTGTAAGGGCACCGCCCCAATGTGGAGTTTTGTACCTTTTTGTCTGATAGTACAGAACCCATAAGGCCAAATGGCGGAGAGATTATTTGGCAATTATTTTGTATATTCTCTCGCAAAAACTGTTGCGTTAATTCGGTCGGAAAACTTTTGTGTTCTTTGACACAAGAGAAAGCAAAGTTTCTTGGGGGAACGCAAAAAGAAAAAGAAAAACATCCCTCATATTTTTTTCTTCACCATATTGGCTTCGTAGAAAAAATCTTTAAACTAGCTAGTATTGAAACAATTGTTTAAAGTGAATTATATGATGCTCTACTCACGTCTCTGGTGATCAAGGGTTCGTGTAGACTCAGTCTTTGTGCTTTAGTTTGGAGGTTTCACTTTCTCTTTTATCCTGTCCGTCCCACATCCGAGCGCGCAGACCAACAAGCAATGATGTCTATTCAATGATTAATATTTTAAAACCCAACGCAGCACAAAAATACAGAAACAAAAAACAAAAACAGCAAAAAACAAAAACAAAAAAACAGCTCAAGGGGCATTCTATGGAAATGTCCATTTGTCTGTCCCTAAATATTACACTTTAAAAAAAACACTTTAGAATTACAATTTATTTACATTTTAAAATAAAACGATGTGTTATTTGAACAATTACACCTTCTTGAGCCATCAAGTGGCAATATTTCATTTTATACCCACAGTCATGAGGGAAAATGCTTTATTTCCAGGTCAATAACAGTTTTTACACTATTTAAAATACAATAATGTATATAACTATCTAATACATAAATGACATAATAAATTTTATTTAATAAATTTATAACGAAAGTAGTGGTCCCCTGGAGTTGTGTCACTGGTGTTACCATTAAAATCTCTTATTTTGAAATAAAAATCACACTGATGACGTCACTTGACTTCCTTCGGGAATATAAAAAAAAAAGCCCCAAATCCTCTGTCTCTTTTCAGTTATCAGAAATATTCTCATTTATCTCATGATTTCATATGAAGCTTTTAGTTGAAGTCACTGGTATAACCTACTTTATTGGTAATTGTAAAAAAACGAGAATACAAATGGATTAAACTAGCCTACTTAATTTAGTTATGATTGACAACATGTGGTTTGATACCTTGCAGCGGCCATTTTGTAAAATGAATTTTTCATGAAAATTGTCACTGGTGTCACCTTTCTTATGTAACACCACACCAGTGACTCCCATTTATAGATAAACTTTATTCAAAGCTAGATTAGATGCCAAATGTAACAATTTAGTCTCATCTAATTAATAATGTTTGGTCTAATGCATGTCATTGGTGATTCATTGTGTCACTGGTGTTACTATCTTTTTTCTTCTGTCAAATTAAATACAATGCCACATGTGACATGATAATAATTTTACATACATTTAATTTTGCAATACTATGGGGCGACAAACGTAAAGCTACGCACGCTGAAAATAACAGCAACATTTTGTCACATTTAGCTTCAAACAATGTTTAAAAAACTGCACATTTTTGACGGTCACTTTTTAGCACATTTACAACAATATTTGTCAACTTAAATATATTTTAAATAGTTAAATCTAAATGAAGAGTTCAGATGCAAAAGCCTCTAAGTGCCATTTAAAATTTTCTTCTAAAATTATCATTTTTATCAAGCTTGTATATTTAAGTTCAGTAATTTCACTTAAATGGCAGTGAAGATTACCTATTAATTGTCATTTAAGTGAAATTACTGAACTTAAATATACAAGCTTGATAAAAATGGTCATTCTAGAACAAAATTTCAAATGGCACTTATAGAGGCTTTTGCATCTGAACTCTTCAGATATTAAATGTTAAATCTAAATGCTAAATCTAATGTTAAATCTAAATCTAAATGTACAGTGTTTCTCTACAATTTACAGTCTCTAAAATAATTTTCAATCCTCGTCGCCAATAGGCGGCTGACTCGGGAAGAAGAACGACAGACACTCACTTTGCATGTTCACTTACTTTACCGAGTACTTCAGCATCCACGGACAACTCGCGTATAAACATTGGGCGTGGCTTAGCGTTCCCGTCGCTAAGCACATCTACAGTTTTATGATAAAAACTTTGACAAACGTCTTGAAATACATAATCTGAACAATGTTTCGAGGTGTGGTAACTGTACTATAAGCGGAATAATTTACGACATCCCGTTGAATAATTAGAAAAATAATGCTCACATCGCGTCGTGACCCCATTACCACCTCGGGTGTGTGTTATTTTTCTAATAATTCAACGGGATGTTGTCAATTATTCCTTACATAAAAGGAATTAAAAGAGACATGATACAGTTATAAAATGAATTAGAGTAGCCTAAAATTAATTAAAATAATAAAAAGATGATACATAACAAACTTCTCATCTGTCAAAACACCGGTGTAGCCTATCTTATTTTGACTCTGAGATTTCCCATGTAGATCTGTATTCTTCTGTGGATTTTCAGTTGGCGCTCTTAGATAGATATAGATAGATCCTTGAGCATTAGTTGAAGGTTACCGGGCCTGTAAAATTACAACCATGAACAACAGGGGCCTTTACGGTTCCTCCATTGGATGATATGCTCATAGTAACTCCAGCAGCCTGAGCCGGTGCCGGTGTCCCACTGGACGAAGCTCTCGCTCCAGAAGGAACATCCTCTGGAACTGATGGACAGACACGGAGATAATATCAGAATGCATAAGAGCTTAGATCAAACACTACAAATGCATAAAATAAACACACATTTGTATAAGCAAAATGTTTAACATAACTGTATAATTTACTGTACAGTTCTTCATTTTTTCATAATGATGACTTCTATTCAATCTTAAACCAGCTAAATTTTTATTCTTTACCTTCCTGAAGTTTTCCCTCAAGTTCGCTTGCGAGATCATTTTTCTCCATGCATCGCAGCACTTGCACTGCAATATTGCCAGCATCAGTAGAGTACTGCGATGCCATGCAATCCACGACATCACGACGATTAGCTTTCTGAAGCTTTGCTGGAAGAATAGGCGTGATGTCTTCTGTCATAGGATTCAACAGGTGCCAGATGAACTGATCGAGGTCTTCATCTAGAAGCTTCTGGAGTTCCTTAATCAACACCACTTTTATTTTAGTGACGGCCATTTTGTGTCACTGGAAGAAAAAGGACAAGTTAAAAGTAGGCCTAGCCTACACTAATTTTGCTCTTAAAGAAGTTTATGTGATAGCTTTCAAAATGTGAGTCTGTCCACTCTAGTCATTGAGCTTGAAACACTGTCTTTGTGTGCACATGCATGCCATAGACCTTCTTCAGAGCAGCGCCATGCCAGGTATGAAAGTGACGCTGTGAGGGATAGACTTAGCATGTTTCCAATGGCATCCGCTGTAAAAAGCTGAATAAACTCCTAGATTAGGATACTTACAATTTACCACAGCTTACATTGTCGGGAGTTTTTTGTCAACTGACATTTCTTGGAAAGATATTTTTCCAGTGTTTCATGAGCAGAACAATCCGAAAACACATTAAATAACAATACAGCCCATTGAAGAGATGCATGACTATCCCTCACAGCCTCGCTTTCATTCTCATTAAAAATCAAAGATGGCGCTGCCGTGAATAAGGCGTATACTCGACTATTTTATATTTTCACATTTGCCCCTTTCGCTTTATTTATTTTTTTTAAATGACATAATTTGTGTGTTAAAATGACTTACACATGATCATTTGCGCGCGCGAGGGCTTGTATTGCGCCCTCGGTTCTTTAGGCATTGATTTGCCGCCCCGCGCTCACGCAGAAACAATGTGGCACAACAAGTGAAACACTCAGATTAGCCTATTAATGAGGACGATGTTTCAAAGAAGAATGCGGGTGACATAAATATTATTTACAGATAAATTATTTTATCAGGATTATAAGACTAATTGTTGCAGACTTGCACTTGTACTGTTGCAGACTTACACAGGCTAAACTAGGACCTTGTTCGTCAGAACAGCTACGAAAAAAAGGTACAAAAGCTGACACTGGGACGGTATTAACCCATTTTTAAATGAACTCTTTAAAAATGTTCTTACAAACGTGTACACGGTGAAAGGGCACCACCCCAATGCTTTGTAGCCTACCTTTTTCTGAGAGTAAACACGGAAACCCTAGGGCCAAGTAGTGGTGGAAAATTATTTGGCAAATTCTCTCGCAAAAAAACAAAAAAACAACAAACAAAAAAAAACTGTTGCTCTCAAAACGTTTGTGTTCTTTGCGAGAGAAAGCAAAGTTCCTTTTTTTTTTTTTTACGGAAGAACGCAAAACATTTGCGAGGAACGCAATTACCACGTTCCATCTCACATATTTTTTCTTCACCATCCTTTTCGTGGCAAAAAATAAACAAATAAAAAATATTTAAACTAGTTTTGAAATAATTGTTTAAAGTGAGTTATGATGCTCTACTCACGTCTCAGGTGATCAAGGGTTCGTGTAGACTCTGTCTTTGTGCTTTAGTTTGGAGGTTTCACTTTCTCTTTTATCCTGTCCGTCCCACATCAGAGCGCGCGGGCCGCAACCACTAAAAGCACTCGAGTTCTAGTGTAAAACGATTTGAGATGATCCTCACGTTTTATCGAAGAACAGAATGAAATGTATCACACTTAAAAAAAAAAAAAAAAAAACAATCTCCTTTTATGTGTTTTAGAGGTTATTCCTGGTTCATGCTGCAAACCCTGTGCACATATACCAAACTAAAGTTGAGATTAAAAATTATATTTTATATCAGTTTTCGATTAAACCTATTTTATGAAAGCATGAATGACAGAACTTGGACTCTCGTTTTTAATCAAATAGCATAATCTCAGGTTTTTAATCTAATAAAGCGAGGGAGGCTGAGAAAGTTAGTTATGTTGAAACTGATAAAGTTGCTTTTTAATACTTATGCTCCTATGCAAACAATGAATGTACAAAAAAATATCTTGTTATTTGTGTAGCCTATTCGTCTATATAATCCCAGCTTATCCGAATGGATATTTAAATGATGTAATGCTGTTTACTTCCATTAGAAATGCGAGAAAAATGTGTCTTTCTTCATTCAAATGTGGCTATATGACTTTTCCAAAAGAAATACGTTATTAGCCTATAGTAGAAATTTGTTTTTGTTATTAGGAAAATCCAGTTTTGCTCACTTTAAAACGGCCTTTAAAATGTAAAAATAAACAGGAACAAACCCTCTTTAGAAAAGTTAAAAAGCCTTTATTGCTATGGCTTGGTCATCAACACTAAAAACACTCCGAGCCTCGTCCACATCCGAGCGCGCGAGCAGCAACCAATACAAGTGCTCGAGTACTAGTGTAAAAAGATGATCCTCAGCAGTTAGCACATTTTTTTCGAAGGAAGGAAATGTGGTCACACACACACACACACACACACACACACACACACACACACAAACAAACCAAAAAAAAAAAAAATCTCCTAACCTAGTTTTTTAAATCACACTTGTATACCTGTGAAAACAATATACATACACATTTCTAAACTACTTTTATCTCTTTTAAATAACTTAAATAAAAGCATCAACTTGCAGTAATAAGGATCAAGAACACATCCGGGGATTTGAACTGGACTTAGGTGTGAGCTTTGAATTGGAACAGTAGTGACTGATGACTTTTAACAAGTTTACAAGAACAGACAAGAACGCATATTGAGAAACGGCCCTTACGCACACCCACACCCCATTCCTTGCCAACCTTGTGGCACGCCCGTTGCTCCAGCCTGTAGACAATTATCCCTTCTTGGGAAAAGAGACGGAAGAGAAGAGATGCCATTCCGAGGCTTTAAACCGGTCAACTGTGTGGATATTTAACCGGTCGCATATGCTGGTAAGTTCAGAACGGATACTTCATATTACCTACAGTGATATCACAATTTTCTGCCATTCATGTTCTTCTTTACACAAATCATTATGTTTCGACATTAGAATCTAACCCAAATGGCAGAAACGTTGACGACGTATAACTTCTGATATCCTGCGATTTTATATTTATAAAGCCTATAATAATAATAGTTTGTTTTATATAATATTATATAATCATTAAAAATATATATTTTGCCTATTCAGATATTTTTAAATCAGGTAACAACAAAAATAAACATTTTTTGTTTTTTTTACACAAATGCATTGTGATTGATGAAATTAGAAGCATCATTAGTAATATTATTATTTGTATGTTCACATATGTAATTAACCTAATTTCATAAGATTTGGTAACAACATTTTTCTGAAAGAGAGCACAAATGGACCTATTGAATGTGGAACTAGATATCACCTGGCCGCCATTATTTGAGTGGGCTGAAGAATAGGTGGGGTTGCAAACAAAGAGCTTTCGAAACCTCTAAACAGTGCAACAACACCTGTGGGAACAGCATCAAAAACAATGGCAAATTCTCTAGGCGTGACAGGTAAATTAAATTTTCCAGGAATTCACCAAATGTATACACCCATCTTCATTAAAAAGAGTACATACTAATGTAATATTGTTATCATGCCAGTTTTGAAAAAAATAAGGACTTGTATTTCTAGGGAATATTTCAATAGTTCCAGATGAAATATGAGTGTGGTGAAAATTGTGTTTATAAATAAGAGACCAAGCCAGAAGTATTTGTTTATGGAATGAAGAGAGCTTTCCAGGTCGTTTATCAATGTTATAATTGCATAGCTAAAGAAGCTTGGTCGCTAGGAGAAAATATGATTCGCGATAAAGTTCCAAATTTAGGAGGGGCATTTTAAGAAGTGTTTCATCCAATTAAAATTTTAAAAGTTTTAAAATCAAGAAAATTTAGACCTCCATTTTCATATGTGTTCATTAGTTTTTAATATTGTGGGTACAATTTCTTCAAACAAAATTGAATATAAGATTATCAATCATTTTACACTTTGTATTGTCCAACTGTAGAGCTAATGCTGCATATGTTAATAGATAACCCTTCAGCTTTAGTAAGCAAGACCCTGCCTTTTAATGAAATATTTCTTTAGAGCCACTGAATGAGTTTTTACAGGTTTTATCAATAGCAGGAATAAAATTATCAGAACATCGTGTAGCTTGATTCTTAGCTATTACAACTCCTAAATATGTGATCTTTTCTCTGACAGGAATACACAGTAGATGAAATATCACACTCTGCAATAGATAATAACTCACACTTAGGTATATTACTGTATAAACCAGAAGCTTTAGAGAATGCATCAATTACCCCTAGAGATACTGCAACTTGATCACTATTTTTTAAGAAGAGAGTGGTGCCTGATGGTCACCTTCCTTCAGGAATTGAGTTACCTACAAGGTTGCTTTGCTTGATGGTCTATTGAGGGTTGAGCTGCCAATAAGAACAGATAGGGAGAGATTGGACAAACTTGATGTATACCCAACTACATTGTGTTGTCTTGAGTTTAACTTGCATTGCACTGAACTTTAGCTGTAATTGTAAACCAATGATCTATACTGCACTGCTGTCTCTCAGGAGCTTTTTACAACACACAATTACACAAACTTGAATTCCAACATTAAAGACTGGTTTACGGAACTACTGATAAATGTCTGTTTACTTTTATTTTTAACTAAATATTTTTTAAAACTGTGTTTATAGGTATTAAATTGATCTCTCAACCCTATTTTTGAGAAATTACACAAGGAAGACGCGGCCCCAAAAATGAGTTTCTGTGAGGATAAGAAGGACTCTACATCAAAAATGAGTTCTCCATCTTCGGTATCAGGATGTTATCAAACCATGAAGAATCTGCACTCTGACTTCAGTGATGCAACAGTGACCTCTGACCCCAGGTAAGACACTAGCCATTTTTGCCTCTTACAGACTTGCAGTGCATTCCAGACACCTGCAGTTGGTGAGTGAGACACAAAATCACATTTAAAGTTTTGTCATAGAACCGCTTCTTTATCCCTCTGGGGTCTAAGGTGTTTTTGGGGTCCTTGAGACGTTCTGACATGCCCTGACATGCCATTGTTTCAGTTGCTTCCAAACACATTAATGGCACAGGTGAAATGACACTATAATTAGCACAAACAGGGCTATTATAATATGTGAGCAACATGTTTGTATTTTTGAGAGAGCTGATGTAAAGGAGTAATTAGCTGGAAATTATCAGAAAAAGAAATTCAAACAAAAATGATCATGAGTGTATCAGTGTTGTCTCTGCGTTGTGTTGTTGTTAACTCAAGACGGACACCAAATCAAGCTTTCTGATGGCTTTTTATTCTGTTGAATAATATAGAACAGCGTTGATCAGTTTCAGCAATCACCCTCGTGGTGTTCGCAGCCATTCACTCTCGCGGCTGGCGCGAATCTAATTACTCATTTACATAAACTATACAAACAGTTATAATACACACATTTGAAACTCATGAACTGTACCTGTTGAATAATATAGAACAGCGGTGATCAATTTCAGCAATCCCTTGTGGTGTTCTATAATGGAGGTGTACATTAAACTTAATATTACAATACATACAACAGTGCACAAGCACAAATCAAATAGCATACATCTAAACACATATATAACTCGGTATGAACCCATAAAATGGTTATACATTTATCACTATATGTTTTACTCATGGAGCACTCACTCACCGCAGCCATTCACTCTCACAGCTGGCGCGAATCTAATTGACCCTACCGGAACCAGTTCATCCAACTTCCAGATCTGGGAGGAGAGTGCGATTTAAAGGGGCCATGCATTAAAGTGAATATAGCAAGTGGAAACACATATTTGACTCGTTGCATGAGCATTGACATGTTTGGAGCGGATATCTTAAAGAGCCCCTATCATAGCATTTGAAATGTTCCTATTTTTGTTTTAGTTGTTCCCAAAAACAGTTTAACATGCATGCAAGGATAAAAAACACTTTATTTGTCTTATAATATGCATTTATTTTTAACTGATTTGCTCACCGACTCCCAAATGATTCGTACAACGACTCATTTTCCAAACCACTCCTTTGCGTGACGCGAATCGGCGGTGATTGGTCAGATGACAGACCCAGTCAGTTATTGTTTGTTAGCATAACGCATAAACATATTGATAAAGCACTGCAGTGCTACAAGACGCTCTATTCTTTATGACAACTCCAATAACAGCGACAAACATTTCACATATTTAAAAAAAAATTACATTGAAGACCTAGAAGCTGCGCTGAGCGTAACTTACACACACACACACACACACACAGATACACGCGCACACACATACTGAGCGCTGCGCACTCAGCTGCTCATAAACATGGCTGCTATAAACTTGACCTGCCACAAGATGGCTCTGTTTTCGACAGTCTTGATGCTTCATATCTTTTCCAGAAACATTCAGGGAAAAGCCTCAGTGCTTAATTTTTCCATCCCTACATCACTAACTAAAAATGGTTATTTGTTATTAATAAATTATTATCGGTAATGTCTTGCACCGATCAGACATTCTGAATTGTGAATTTAAAAATACATTGTGGGAAAAAATATTTTATACACACACCGATATAGTTGAGATTCATAGCATATGAATCTC